AAACGGGCCCCACCCCACGCCGGTATGGGGTTTAGGGCTTAGGGTTTAGGGTTTAGGTTTAGGGTTTTTGGTTCGACCCGTACGGGGGGGGTCCCCACCCCATTCCCCCTAAAATTCCCTATGAGTGTAGTGCTTCCAGGGTGCAGGGTTACCTTTTTTTACGGTGTAGGTGCAGGATGGTGCAGGTTTGAAGGTTTATAGGGGCCCTTGGGGATGCTAGTTAATTGGGAAGCGGCTCTTCTGCTTCCGAGGTTTCATCCGCCAGCCCTGAGCCCGTAGGGTTTAGGGTTGGCCTACATGGGTAGCTCTCTAAGTTAGGGTCCCTTTCAGGGATCTTGGAGAACTACCCATCGAAACCCTAAAAGTTCCCGTTTAAGGAACCCTAAACAGGGAAGAGAACTACCCACATAATACCCTTATCGAAACCCCAAAAGGTCCCTTCTAAGGAACCCTAAGAAGGGGAAGAGAACTACCCAAATCTTGAGTCGGGCAGCCGAGGATATTCTGGGTGAGCGTGGCAATGGCCGACTGCGAGGACGAGGGCACAGGGACCATTTCATTGGGGTGCTGAGCGGCTTAAAGGTTAAGGGTTTTGGGGGTTTGCGGAGTTTTTGGAAATTAAAGGTCTTGGGTTTTGGCCGTTTGAGGTTTGGAGAGTTTGGGAACTTAGGACTTAGATTTAGAGGTTTACGCATCTCAAATTGCCTAGAAAACCCCAAACCCTGAAGCCTGACCCCAGCCATCATGCCAAAAGAAAGCCCGAACCCTACAACCCCAATCCCCGAACTGGGACGTGGCCCCTTACAAACCCTAAACCCAAAGCCTGAAACCCTCGCTCGAACCCTGAACCCCGACCGTAAACCTAAAGCCAACGACCCTGAGTTCCGAAACCGAAAGCCTCAAGCCTACACTAAAGTCCCAGAGCCTATCCGTATTTTAGGGTGTTTAATGTCTTGGGCGTCTACGCGTTTAGGGTTTAGAGGCTGAGGGTGTTAGGACTTTAGTATGGGTTTACAGGTTCAGGGGTGTAGGGGTTGAACACTTAGAATTGGGGTGATATGGGCCCTGCGCAGGAGTCGCGCACGCAGTTTACCTAGTTGTGAACTTGCTTACAGCGTCCTTGCCTACCCCTGCGCCAACCAATTACTCTAGATCAACTAAACCCTAAACCCTAAAGCCTAAACCCTAAAGCCTAAACCCTAAACCAAAACCCTACACCCTAAACCCCCAAACCCTAAACCCTCGGACTTCCAACTCAAAACTTCGGGCTGCAAGAACGCCAAGGCCCCTGACGAGCATCAAACGAGGAAGCGACTGAGACCGTGGTGGATTGCTTTAGGTTCTTGAAATCAGTTCAACGTGCTGGTTTAGGGTTTAGGATTTAGGGTTTAGGAGCCGGGTTTAGGGTTTAGGGTTAAACCCCAAACCTTGAACCCTCAACCCGAAACGCCGAACCTTAACTCTAAACCCCAAACCCCAAGCCTTCAACCCTAAACCGAAACCCATCTCCCCACCTGAGTTGACAAACCTTTCGGAGCCACGGGAGACGGCTCTGCGCATTCGGCGGCAAGGCAGCGCGCCTCTAAGGAGGAGCCTCAGGCATTTGTAGGACTGTCGAGTCGAAAGCTCTTGGGCTTGAGAGCTTCGGGTCTCTGGGCTTATAGGGTTTAGGGCTTGCGGGTTTAGGGTTTCGGGTTTGGGATTTAGCGTTCAGAGTTTAGGGTTTAGGGTAAGGGCTTCTATACAAACGAGCATGGAACTGAAACAAACAACGCCGAACACCGAATCTGAATCTCACGATTCAATCCTGAGTCTTTCCATGTAGGCTAGGAAGCGCACTCGACTGTCCTGAAGGCCTCAATCTGCAAACACTACCCTTGTAATCTGCAGGATCCAGGAAACTCGATCCAAATCAGAATGTGTTGGGTAGCTCACGACGAGCTGGAGTGCAAATCCAGAGGCGCTGCATCTCTTCGAACCGAACTTGACAAAGCCGTAAAGCCCGAAGACCCTAAACCCTAGGCCCACAAGGTAGGGAAGAAACCTTATGCCGGCCACACCCGAAGTACCAAGCCCGAGACCCTAAATTCCGAAAATCCAAACCCCTACATCTCTAAACCCCAAACGAAAACCCTATCCGCTTAACCTTGCACCCGTTCTTTTTTCAGGACGGGCCTTGGGAGTCGTTGTCCATCGATCTGGTGCTACGGCCCATGGCCAGGAAGGTGGATCAATCGGGGCGATGACTTGGGGCTGATGCTACAAGAGGATTTATGATATGGGGTTTCAGAAAAGCGCGGCTTTGTGGCAACTTGATTGGCTGGGCTTTCAATTTAGAGTTTCGGGTTTGTGGTCCATGGGTGTGGGAGTTGGCTGAGACACGTTACACTCTGTGCGAAACCTTCTCTTGTCTCACACATAGTTCCTGGATCACAATAGCTGCAGGAACACTTGCGTGGGCGCGGATCGGATACACTCAGTGAGCCCAGTCGCACCTGACCGCGCATGCACTCTGTCCGCCACCCCACCCCGGAGCCTCCAAAACCCCTTAATTAAGGAATATACCTTAAATTATAATAGGATCCCTAATATGATTTTAAGGTATATTCCTTACTTAAGGGGTTTTGGAGGCTCTGGGACATAATCAAAGCTTCAATGTGCAAGTAGGGCCTGATCCCCAAGCAGGCCCTGAAGCCTCGAATCTAAAACCCTTAGGGTTTAGGGTTTAGAGTTTAGGGTTTAGGGTTTAGGGTTTAGTTGCCGAGTTGATTAGCCCAAAAAGTTTAAACTTTCAGTTTTAGATAGGGTTTCATTCTTGCAGAAAGTTTAAAGTTTATCAACCCAACTACTAGGCTAATAACCCGAAACCGCTGGTCAGACAAATCTGTGCACCGCCCTATCGCCAAATGGCCCTACAGTGCACTCCCCTGAGATCCAAACTTAGAAGAGCTCCGAAGCCCGAACTCCCTGTGAAGGCTATACCTATAACCCTAAATCTACATAATCCTGCAGTGCTTGGGGTTTAGGGGTTTCGGGTTTAAGCGGTCTACATGAGGACAGCTTTGCTTTCGTCTCCGTCGGCATGTGATCTGAGCTTGTGCCCCTGGGCTGAGTCGGAGCGTAGAAGCTGCGCCACTCAGTTCTGCTGGAACAGCCCTGCGAAGCATACGTTCTGGAACACCTTCGAGGTGAGGTTGCAAGGTAAAGGATTTACGATTTTAGGGTTAAGAATTTATGGCTTGGGACCCCATGCAGTTGAGCGGAACTTCCGTCAAACTGTGGTCTTCCATGGAGGGCTCCCTACGTCCGCGACTCTGGAAGGGAATGCTACGCAGCGCCTGCGAGACCGCTTCGATAGGGAGGGGTGGGGGGGGTTGTTGTTCGTGGATTTGGGGAACAACAACCCCCCCCACCCCGTGGGCGGATGCGCGGGGAGGGGGGGGGTGAACAACAATGGGGGGGGGGGGGGGGTTGTTGTTGTTCGAAGAACAACGGGGGGGGGGTTGAACAACAATGGGGGGGGGGTGTTGTTCGAAGAACAACGGGGGGGAGGGGTTGAACAACACGGGGGGGGGGGGGGGGGGTGTTTGTGCGAAGAAACGAGGGAAGAAAAAAAGGGGGGGGGGGAGGTTCGAAGAAACAAAGGGTGGGGTGAACAACAATGGGGGGGGGTTGTTCGAAGAACAACAGGGGGGGGGGTTGAACAACAACGGGGGGGGGGGGTTGTTGTTCCCCAAATCCATGAACAACAACCCCCCCCACCCCTCTATCGAAGCGGTCTGGCGCCTGCATCAAATAAGGGTTCTTGAAGCAAACATCATCAAAGAAGTTTAGGCGAGGTTGGTCATGTCCAGTATACCCCATGCTTCGGAACTTTTTTCTGTCAGTTTGCACATAGCCCGGACGCCACCAAGAGTCTCTCACCAGTCGAGAGCACATAAAAAAGGCCTGAACCCACCTGGGTCTCAACTCTAAGGACACTCTAGCCTGACTTAACTCTGCCTTAGCAGTCGAGCTTCGTAACTTAGCGGCTTCTCTAGAATTATTATATGCATACATTTGGGACCTTGCAGTATCTTCGGGGTCAGCAGAACAGCATCTGTTCCTAGCGAGGCACCCTGCACCAAAGGACGAACAAAACCCTACACCCCTAACCTTTATGCATACTCTGAGGTTTCGGATTGTAAGTATGTTTTGGGAGGTTAGGTTTTAACTTATGGTGTCGGGTTTAGGGCACCCTCAGACGCCCTTCTAGAGTCAACGCCCAGGAGCGTCCTTCATGTGGAGGTTGGCCTCACTTCCACACAACAGCGCCGCAGCAGAGCGAGGTGGGCTGACCTCGTCTAGAGCACACCGCAGGAGATGCAGCTGTGTGAATCTGAAAGTGCGATGAGGGCTTAGGCCTCTTTCTGGCTGTGGCGTTTGGCCTTAGGTTTTTCAGTTGGGTGACTTTGTTCTTACAACCCCATTTACAAATCCCGATCCGCTGGGTGATCCCGATGTAATCTCGAAGCAGTTCTCTCCAGCCCTTACGCAATGCTGACCTGTGGACCTGTGAGCTGTTCTACATGGCTGTCCCGTTTGGGGCCGTGCAATAATGAAGCTAGACATGCAACGATCATAACCCTAAACCCTAAACCCTAAACCCTAAACTTACAGGGGCCGAAGGGGCCTGAAGGGTTGAAATGGGTTTTACACATAAACGCAATGTTAAATATATACACAAAAAAAAGGTTCCAGGGGATACCATCTCTTAGTTACGTGAACTTCTATTATTACTATAACCTGAATCCTGCCTAGACCCTAAACTATCTCGAGAACAACGCCTGTTTTCCATCCCACAGGCTCAGCAAGGAGACTCGGCATCCTACGGTTGATGATATAAACCCTGCATTACCCATAATACTGAATATACCAATTCCCACAGTCTAAGGTCCTTAAGGTAATGCAGGATGTCTATCATCAACCGTATGAAACCCTAGAGTCCGATCCTGTTGCCCTCAGAGAGCATGCCGAGAAAGGCGAGCTTGCTCGTGACCTTGGCTAGGTAGGGTAGGGCAGGGTAGGGTAAGGGAGGGTAGGGGAGGGTAGGGTAGGGCAGGGTAGGCTGAAGAAAGTCAGAGTAGCGTGGGGTTCCTTAAAGTAAATATAGTATAATGGGCTCGAAAACCCTATTCTACCCAGGCCTGGGATTTAAGCTTCCAGTTCAAGATCACACAGGGTTTGAGGAGCGAGGCTCTCAGGGTTTGGGGGTCTTCGGGCGCACTATAAGGGCCCTTCAGAATTACCCGAACTGTTTTTGGTTCGTCTAAAGGGTTCCTTAAAGGGGGTCTATCAGGGCAGGGTTGATGTTCAGGGTCTTAGGGTTTAGGGGTCTGAGGGTTAGGGTTTAGGGCAGCTTAGGGTATAGCTAAATCCTGCCAAGCCCAAACTACACTGAGAGAGGCACGAAGTCCGCAAACCAAACAGGGATCAGCCGTTCTGAGGGCGTAGGGCTTCAGGGATTAGGGCTTCGGGTTTCGAGGTTTGGGGGTTTGGGGCTCAAGGCTTCGGGAGAGGACTGTGGTTAACTGAAGTTAACTTTTCTCAACAAGGAAGGCGGCGGCGGCGCTGCTGCAAGATCGTGACGCTATTGGGGTGCTCGACGAAGAGTATGACCTTGTCTCAAAGCTGCAACAGAAACCAGCTGTATATTCGCCCTACACCCTAAACACAGAGCACTCCGACACTCAACACTAAACCCCCTGAGAGCCCTAAATCCTAAAGCCCTTCTCCTTTGTGCCTGAAGGTCAGGCCTCTGGTTTTGCTTGACCCAACTGACTCTACGTTAAACCCAAACCCCGCTTACACTCCCTCTCCTTCTCCCTCTCCCTCCCCTCACACTCACTCTCCCTCTCTCTCTCTCTCTCTCTCTCCATCTCTCTCTCTCTCTCTCTCTCTCTCTCTCTCTCTCTGCGCATGTGTGCATATATGTGTATACTTATATGTGTAAATGTGTCCGGCACAGTGCCGAGCTGAAAAGTAGAGGCCCGCACCACGCAAGCCTGGTAATAGACAAGCAACTCCAAGCCCCAAATCGACGAGACCAAAGCTAAATAAACCTAGCCTCGTGCCTTGAACCGTGCACTCCAAACTGCAACCTTGCGTCCCTATGCCCAAAACCTTGTATAATTTTGAGACAGAAAGCCTTCAGGAGAATGCCAATGATGGCGAAATGGAACTCGATGTTGCCGGCGCTGCCAACCTATGGTTCGATTCCTTTCGAACGATAAGACTCCGGGTCTCATGCTCTCTCCACACTGCTTCCACTTGGATACGAGCTTGGAGATTTCGTGGGGATTAACGGGGATCGTGACCCTAACGGTTAGGATAGGGTTGCGGGGTATACTGCGACAGGACGAAAGCTCGTCGTACTCTCGCATGTTGGTCTTGAACGCCTTGCAAAACCCTTTTCTCGAAGGATTCCTCCACCGCAATCCTCCGTCCCAAATATTTTAGTGACATACAGTTATTCGAGTGAGTTAATTCCTCCGCTGGCTAAAACCGCTCCTTCCGCATGGGCAAGTGAAACGAGACTTTCATCCTGGCGATGTGTTATAGCATACTGTCACAAGCAACCCCTAAGCATATTAGTTTTAGATATTCAGGCTTCTGAAACCCTGATTACCTACACCCCCCCCAATGAAAGACTTGCAAACCATAAAGCCGTTTTCAGCTGAATAAAAGCCGTGGAGAAGGACTCCTCTTCTTCGCCTTGGCTATGAACTTGGGATTGACGTTTAGGGGTTTAGGGTTTTAGGGTTTAGGGTTTACGGGTTTAGGGTTTAGGGTTTAGGGGTCAGGGTTTAGGATTTGGACTGTACGGGACCCTATTCAAGCTACTCTGATGAGGGCTTTTTTAGGCCTGGGGGTCTTGGGTTTCGGATCAAGGCCTCAAGGATGCTCAGGATCTTGGATTTCGGGCTTCGGGATTTAAGTCTTATGCAGGGCTTAGGGCATATGGTGGTGTGCAGAACTGGACCGTTCCGTTTGGTCTTGAAACTGTCTTGAACATAAACTTCCACAGTGACGAGACCGGCTGCTTCACAGTTTTGCGGCGTCTTCGCAGGGTGTTCTAAATTTCATTGACCGTTTAGATATCTAGAAGTGGCCAGTACTGTGACTATCTGTATATGCATACACACGCATATATATGTATATATGTATATATTTTCTAGAAACTACAGACGCATCATATTGCAAAGCACTGACACTCTTTCGCGTCTCTGCGCAATGCGGGTATTTGTTTGCATAAAATGTGATTTCGCAGAATCGCACCGAGAAAAGCAGAATCTCGGGCCCGTATACCAAACAAGTAATCAAGAATCGTTCGGGCCAGATGCTAAACCCTAATTCCCGACGAATCGAACGCAAAGACTCCACACTAGCACTTAGCCAAGACGCTGAGCTCGGCAATCTTGAGGTCCTGTGCGGAGTTGCAACGGAAAGCGAATAAACCCTACCGAAGCCCTCACCCTACCATCAACAATCCTGGCCTCTAACTCTACACGCGAAACCGTCAAACAAAATAGAACGGTGTTGAGTCCTGGACCTATTTACCCTTTAGGAGACACTGGTCTGCGCCGACATCTTCCAGCTCTGGGTTTTCAAGCTCAAGGGTTCCGCTGCCATACATTGAAGTGTTCAGAAAGTTTGGAAACCAAAACCACATCGAGGGAACCCTGAACCCTAAACCCTGAACTGCAACCCTGGGGAAAGGGTTAGAGTTGAGGGGGCTCTGCGTGGCTCACGCTTATCACGAGGACTCCTAGGTACCCTGATTCTTACCACTATCAACACCCTAGTAACCCTTTCAGCAATCCTTGAAGTAGTGCTTATACTAACCCTTTCACTAACCCTCACAGTCACACCTTACATAAAGCAAACCTTAAAATAACAATTAAACCCCAAACCCAAAAACCCTTTAATCCTAAGCACTAAAGACCCTCAAACCAAAAAAACCCTGAATCTTAAACACCCTTTAAACTTTCTGTCCTAAAATCACCAAAAAACCCTTAACCCTACGCCGTCAAATTCTAGAACCCCTCTTATCGGCCTTCGGAAACGCACGCCAACGCTGATGGAGCTTGTCGCACTTCTCCTAGTTCAAACTGTTTAGGATTGAGGGGGTAGGGTGTAGGGTGCAGGATTTCGGAGTTAGGCAGTTTAGGCTTTGAGTTGTCGGGCTGAGGGGGCCTCGCCGAGACTGTAAAACCCGCCACTCTAAACTCCATGCAAAATTAAAAAGCGATTCAAGTTTCAGACTCTGCGGACCAAAAACATGCCCTACTGCGAGAATACACCAGAATCCAAGCAGCCAGCAGCTAGCAAGAATCCTCCCGAGTCACAAACTGGGGCATAATTCCTTGAAGAATTATCTAGGCTCACAGGCGAATCGCAAACAGGTTGAGTTTGAGCTCACGTGCTGCAGGATTGAATCCGAATTCATTGGCCAGCAAATACATCCACTGAAGACCAAAACCTTCCGTGAACTGGTGACGGCGGCCGAAGTGAAGCACATTCCTCAAAGTGTCCTTATACTTTAGCGTGCCTCTTTCTCTACATAGTAAGGCCCGTATGTGCAGCCTACCTCATCCAGGTATGTTCAGAAACTGTTTCAGGGTTGCGGGACATGCCCCGACGCCCTGAACCCCACATCCCCCAGAAGAGCAAACAAACGTGTACTGTAGGTGCCCCTCCATGAATAGAATGGCGTTTGGGGGGACGGGGGAATAATACATAATAACTATGTTATCCTAAGGGTCCGGAGGACCCAATAATTAGGTACTTAGGTTTCGGATAGTGGTGTAGATTGCTATTTTGGAGAGTATATGAAAATTCGGTACTTGGACCCTTAGGGTTAAGAAGCCCTTAAGGACGAGGTAAGGCCCCCTATACTCTGCAGCTTCAGGGAAACCCGTGCTCGGCGCATGCGACAAGGCAACCTCAACGATGACCCTGGGTATGTAAAAACGTGCGCGCTCGCGCGCGTGTGTGTGTGTGTGTGTGTGTGTGTGTGTGTGTGTGTGTGTGTGTGTGTGTGTGTGTGTGTGTGGTTGTATACATGCATGCTTGCATGTAGACACTACATTACATTACACTACATTACATTACGTCACCTTACATTACCAAGTTCATACATGCACACGCAGGCCTGTATATCATTCTATATCTTCATATGTATGTGTCAGAACCTTTACACAGGTTTGGCAGGGGAGTAATATATGGGCCTTAATCATATACTATAACTATAACAAAGAACCACCAAAATAGTATTGGTAATTATTAAGGCCCCTATATTACCAGGCTCTAGACCCCATTCCCGGTCCTTGGACAGCGTGGAGCGAAACGACTCAGATGGAAGACAGGTCAGTGCCCCTAAAAACCTAATACAGGGGCCTTAGTGATTAGAATAGAGTCTTGGGGCCCAGTACTCTATAGTTGTAATAAGGATCCCCCAAAATAGGATAGGTAACTATTGCGGCCCCTATATTAAGCCGTAAATCCAAAATTCTAAGCCGCCTCTTCGGCATCAAGAAAGCCTGCCATTGCCCAAGATGCCAAGAACACACTGGCTTGACGCCTGTTTCACTGCTAAATGCCAGAAAGACCTAAGTTCCCGAGGTCCTGAACCCTATACCCTAAACCCTAAACCTTAAACCTGAAACCCTGAACCCTAAACCCCTAAATCTTAAACCCTGAACCCTAAACCCCAAGCCCTAAACCCCTTAAACCCTAAACCCTTAACCCTAAACCCCAAACCTTAAACCCTAAACCCCAAACCCTGAACCCTAAACTCTAAACCCTAAACGAAACTGAGAGTCACAGACACACAGGATGAGCTTGAGGGTTCTTGAAATTTTGGCCTCCAAGTATACTTGGAGGGGCAGGGGACTTAGTAAGTAGGTCATAAGTACCCTTTATGGAGTTACCCCGATTGTAACCCACTGATAAACGACTTACTAAGCCCCCTGCCCCTCCAAGTAGGGGCCTTAGTAATTAGAATAGGGTGTTGGGGGCAATTCTACTAGCCTAGGAACCCCCAAAAAGGCATGGGCAATTTTTTAGGCCCCTATATCATAGGACCCCTTTAAGGAACCGTTTTAAGGGTAGGAACCTCAATCCGAAAACCCGAATCCATGCACATATGCCCAGAGCCTGCGCCGAGACCTGAACCAACAATCAAACTCTTGAGCCCCATCCCAAACCCGAAAATCCTCTTGCCGAAGGCATTCTTCTCGCACGAGGGAGGGGGAGGAGGGGAGGAGGAAGTCTCTGGACTTCAGAAGCCAAGCTGCAATTTGGTGCAGATGTGCGGTGTGATGCGGCTGCGCGTGGTCCTGCGTGTCAGGTTGAAGTCGCAGACGCATGTTTGGGCATCCGGGTACTCCCCACGTCGTGGACAGTCAGGTACTCCTCAAAAAGCCCAAAGCGCAAAGCCGCAAATTCTTGTATAAGAGTGACAGCAAAAGGACACTGTCCTAGACTGAGAGGGCTGAGGAAGTGGGCTGCCCCAGATTCCTACCCACTACCAGCCACAAGTATAGCAGTCGGCGCAGCCACACGCACCAATGTTGCGTTTAATGTCGGGGCCTTAATGAAAAACAACAGTTTTTTTTTGGGGGGGGGGAATATAATACTATAAGTAGAATAGGAACCCCCAAACCCTATTCTAACTGTTAAGGCCCTTACATGAGCACAGGCCGTCAAAAATCAGGCTCCGTCTTCTTGGATAAGTAGGGCTTTGGGGTTTAAGGCTTACGGTTCAGGAGGATGGGGTTTAAGGCTTACGGTTCAGGAGGATGGGGTTTAGGGCTTACGGTTCAGGAGGATGGGGTTTAGGGCTTACGGTTCAGGAGGATGGGGTTTAGGGCTTATGGTTGCGGTCACAGTACAGATGAGGTATAGAGGACATCACCGACAGGTTCCATATGAAGACTGCAAAAGTGCGACAAGATTCTTGACCGACAACAGTACACCCTAAACCCTAAACCCTAAAAGATCCTGTCGGTCTATTCCAGCGATTGACCCGGGCACGAAGACAAACGAGCTTCGTATCTCAAGGTTCCGCTACTGTACCCAGTTTTACAACCGTAATGAGCCTACGTGCGCAACAGGCCCGGAAAAGATGACTACCTAAACCAACAACTCGGAGAACGGGACTTGAGATCTAAGTGCTGCTGTGAGCATAGCTGAAGGATGTAGGGTATCAGCGTAGAAGGGCGGGGGTGAGGATTCATCCCTGGACCTTACACCCTGATATAGGAGCCGTAATAATTAGGGCTTTGGGGCCTATTTTACAATAATCATAATAATGAACTCCCGAAACATTATCGACAATTACTGAGTCTTTGAGGCCCCTATATTAAGCATTAAGCTGAACCCTGAACCCGGAACCTTACTAGGAAGATCCGGGGGACTTAGTAAGTAGTAACACGTACCCCTAAATAGCCTTCCTAGTTCCCTGGGCATCAAAATAGCCCAAAAGCCTTATATGATATGGTCTTTGGCCCCAAAAGCCTTAATGTATGAGTCCTTAGATGCCTACGGGTTGTGGTTGTGATACTCATGAAGAGGCTTCTCGGGCCTGAGCCGAACCACGTTCTTGGGTTTGGGTTAGGTACGGCCCCCATACAGTAAGAGTCTATAATAGGGCTACTATTAAGGTCCTACTATATCTGTATTATGAACATTATTCAACTATTACTGAGTGGGGGCCGTACCCAAGGTTTAGGGCTTATAAAGGTTTAGAGTCCACGGTTGTGTTGGGGGGGGTTAGTTAGGGTTTAGGCTTCAGGGCAGGGTGACGACAAGGCAGCAGTGGGGAATATCGTCCCTGCTCCTTGAAACTGCTTCACGAACAAAAACACTGACTTCACTCTCTGGGTCGGTCGGGACTGGATGCCTTAAGGTTCCGGGGATGTGCAGCAAGGTCTAGGAAGTAGACGAAAAAGTAAAGTTGTTTTTATACTACAATTAAAGTACAGCTATTTCATAATTTGATATACCTATAGCATAACTATACTTTGACTAAAGTGTAGGTACAAAGGAAAGATAGCGAAATATGCCTGACACTTTGACTGCAAGGGAAGTCTACGGACACCAGTATATAGCCATGAAGCGACTATAACTGCAAAATTGTACAGGGCATGCCTTGGCCTGGCCATGTCCATGGTGGTGAGGTAGAGCACCTCAGAAGTTGCTCGTTTACGACATGGGACAGGATGACAGGATAGGACTCTACCGAGGCATTGCTATTGTTGTGACTATTGGCTTTGCGAAAGGCCCCTTCCACCATCGATCCAACTGCAGAAAGCTTTGTTGCCATGCAGACTCCCGTACTGCGCATTGTTTAAGATGTTCTTGGATCGGCTGAATACCTGCTTCGTGGATCCAGGCGCATGCCCCAGTTGAGTCCGTCTTCGCACTGGTACCGAGTTTACTGAGTAGTTGCCCCGCATCCAAGGTGCAAGAAGAGCATTCCCACACTGATGGCAAAGCTTGGGGTTCCCAAGTGCTGTCCGCATGATCTGAGGTGCTCTTGTGATCCGTCTTCGAACCACCACCATTTGAATAAAAGAACAGGAAGGACACCAGCTGCGGCAAAGCCCTAAACCGTCTACAAGAACAGCAAGCAGCCTTGTACTCGTTCTTACAGCCCTTTCTGTTAGCCTCGATTGTAGCCTCTTTTGCAACCGTTTCTCCTGCTGAATCCTGGACAGTATCTCGTCCGCCGAGGTACAGTAGAAGGTCTCGTTGCCCTTGGCTTTACCGCACATACCACATGTAGCGATCGCTCATCACTAGCTTTCACAGCTTCAAGGTCACCCAAGTTCCAGACCAAACATCCCACATTGACAGCATCGGAGTGTTAAACATGCATACTTGGAGGGGCAGGGGACTTAGTAAGTCGTTCATAAGTGGATTACAATCAAGGTCACTCCATTTAGGGTACTTATAACTCTACTTATAACCTACTTACTAAGTCCCCTTTAGGGTACTCATAATTGTACTTGCAACCTACTTACCAAGTCCCCTGCCCCTCCAAGTAACCTGCATCACCGGGCTTCGGGCTGCTGCACACAGGCAGAATCGAAACCCTAAACCCTAAGCCCTAAACCCTAATCCCTCAAGAAAGTGATAAATCGAAATTGCTTGTCTTTATTTATAACTAGGGCGGCAGGTCTGTACGGGCGTCAGCAGTGTGAGACTGCAGTGCTCCGCCATGTAGGTGCTCGTGAAAGCAGTCCACCAGACACAGGCCTCCGAACGTGTGTCTCGTTACTCTCGTTTGCACATCTTGTTTTATCACATGTCGAAGCGGCTGCGCAACCGAAAAAGCCTTACCATCGTCGTCCGTCATGTCAGCCCATGGAGTACCAAACACCATGTTGACCTTTCAGCCGTACAAGTGACATGAACCACGCAGATACACAAGTATGAAGTTGCCGCAACGTTAGATGCGCGACTGAGGCCACAGCACAGACTCGATGCTCGGGACACTCGGCAAGTACACGGGCGCAAACTTGAATCTGCAAATGGCTCTCATCCGGGCTTGTCTCACAAGCCTCTAACTGGAAGAAACGCCCTGCACAACCACACAACGCCTTCGCATAATTTGTAACACTAGCAGTAGTAGTAGTAATAGTAGCAGCAGTAGTAATAGTAGTAGTACCAGTGGCAGTAGTCGTACCAGTAGCAGCAGCAGTAGTAGTAGTAATAATAATAATAGTAGCAGTAGTAGCAGTCGCAGCAGCAGCACCACCAGTAGTAGTAGTAGTAGTAGTAGTAGTAGTAGTAGTAGTAGTAGTAGTAGTAGTAGTAGTAGTAGTAGTAGTCGTAGTAGTAGTAGTAGCAGCAGTAGTAGTAGTAGCAGTAGTAGTAGTAGTAGTAGTAGTAGTAGTAGTAGTACTAGTAGTAGTAGTAGTAGTAGTAGTAGTAGTAGTAGGCGACGTTCTTTGAAACTTGGAAAAGATATAGCTTTATGATTTTGAGGGTAAATCCGTGAGCAGATTTTAGTGTTTCAGCTCACGCTGGATTCCGTGCAGTCATGATACACACACACACACCTGTAGCAGGTACTTGTTGCCTCTAGCAGACTAAAGGAAGGGGTTATTTTGTAAGGTCGAGACCAGATGAAACCATCAGAAGCTATTAGATGTCGGTAGAACATGTCATTGATATTCAAAACTGGTCGAATGCTAAGCCTGAGCTTTGCGACTGTCGCTTTCCGTTAAATCAACAAAGTTGGTATCTGCAATGCATCTGACACAAGAGCTGTACTTCAAGAACAATGCGGTGTCATGCCGTGGATCAATGGTCAACTGATTAATTCATGCAATAGAATTTACGCCCCGCCCCCCTCATCGTCCAGTACGGATGCATCCATAATATGTGTAGGTGCACAAAGGTCTTGGTCTCGCATGCTTCCGATGAGCGAACCTGTAATGCGGGAACGGATGTGCGTGAAGTGCTTCGACTGTCGAACCTTCCAATAACAGTTACACCACTCAACGGGCGATGCAAGCTACACGTTGTTTGCACAGCACAGAAGTTTTTGATTTGCAGAGATTCGCAACTGTTGACTCGCTACTGATTGAACACTACCCCTCAGAAACGGCTGAGCCGTCACGTGCCGCTCCACAGCACATGGAAACTTGAGTGGAAATGTTAGTAGACTTGCTCGGCTCACGCGCTGCCGAGCCATCCGCAGCAACTATCAAAGGTCGCAGTGCTCTGCGGCAAAACAGTAGCAACGCGCCACTAGCAGAGCCTGCGGCTCGGGACTCGATGTGTTTTTTCTTCAAAGGCACACACCAACATATCACCTCGACCCGCAGGAGTCCGCGGACGCCTCGGACAGGAACGACATGGCACTCCCACGACATTTATGTGGCTTGCGCTTGCTGGCCGCCTCGACGGCGGCATGAAGCGACTCCCACGTAGTGTTCGCGGGCGCAAGGAGGTCCACCAGGTCTAGGTCCAAGGCATACAGGAACCGCTCCATCCGGCCCACGACGTCTCCAGGATTCCAGGATCACTCTTCTTCTCGCCCGGCATGATTGCCTCGTTCGGCGGTGTGCTATGACGAAGCGGCTAGATACCGACTAGATACCCTTTCAAATAAACTAAGATGCGGCCCAGCATCGGCTTCCAATATTTTGCTCACTTTGCATTGCTTGGTGGCACCGTGAAAGTCCGCAACTAGCAGCCGGACTGCCCGCAGACAGTTGCCTGTGCCTGCTGTAAAGCGATGGAATCAATCGAAAGCCACCTCTCCGGTCCACCTGCCCCTGGCATAGACGCGATGTGACACGAGCCGCGCAACCGGTCTCGCCTCGGACGCGCTTCTGCTTTCCGTCTACGTGCATTCTCGAAACTAAAGGTCCCAGCTCGTGTCTCGGCAGCCCCATGATCTCGTCCAGCCAGCTGTGCAACAGCAGGTCGCCCTGCGACAAGCAACACCACGGTCGCGCCCCAGTGCCATTTGACTCTGGCCTGGCCTCCCTTCATGTCGTGGTAGATCCCTTTCAGCTGGCCGAACAACAGCCGCAGGATCTCCAAGCGGCGATTGCCCTGCACCTCGGGTTTCACAATGACAACGCTCTATAGCGGCGATTTGACGCTGCGCTTCTTCGGCCCATGCGATCAGCTCCGCCATGCTGCTCTGCACAGGAGGAAGCATCGTCCTGCAATCAACATGACGGGAAGCGGTAGGCTGACTGAAGACCACGGCTTGCGCGCCTACACCCGAGCCGCGCCAGCACAACCTATTCTCGCAGTCAACTCAGTAGAAAAAACGGCTGCGGCGCCGTGCCGTGGATCAACGGTCAACTGAAGTCGCTCCCCAAATAGAAGCGTTCCTGTTCAGAAACCTAGTTTCTGGTCTTCCTCCCTCTCATCTCCTCTCCATACAGATGCATCAACGCAACATTTTCGCTCCCCAAGAGGAACCGTTTCCAGCTCCACGTGCGAAAAAAACTCACTTTCTGGCCGCCACTCCCGTTTCTGTCCTTCCCAATACTGACGCACCAACGCAATATTATATTTACAACTGCCCTGTCTGCGGTTGTGGTAGTAACCGCGAAGGTTGAACATTTATCGGTCTTCAGCACAAGTACTTGGCTTACGACTAGTACTCGTGACCGAGCACGATACGTCCTCGTGGGAACCAAATGCTTCCAAAGGCATCTGGGCTCACCAGGTCTTGCAGCTCGCCTGCCTATGTCGCTGTTTTTGAATCAGGCGCACTTCAACACGTGACAAGCACTGCGCAACTGACAGAAAAACGATGCTGCAAGCCAGGGACGAGAGCTTTGAGTACTTTGTCACGGTCGAGCTTGAGAGGTTTGCTGTTCCTGCGGCGACCGTCCGCGTTGGGCTGCTCCCGTCGACGTTTCCTGCATCGGGAGTGCGTCATAACTGTATGTTGCTACCTTGAGCTGTCTCGACGGCCGAGGATTCTGCGGCTATCTGGCACTGGCTGGCCTGCAGGCTTCTATCTCAGGCATGTTGAGCCGCATCTGGTCGGCGATCGTATCCGAGATCCTGTCGGTGCGCGGACATGACTCACAAACACACAGCGCAAGCGTGCAAGACTGCTCGCCTTGCAATTCCTTTGTTGACGTTCTTCTCCTTTGCGAACTTCCGGCATTTTTTAAGCAAGTCCAGAATGCTGATTTTTTGGGGCGCGTTCATCGCCTGGACAATGTCTCTGCACTACACCACCCCTCCACGAAAGAAACATGATGCCTGTTCTTCAACTTTCAAAGGGTCTGACAGCATGCACCAGCCGAGACTCGTTGTGCCCCTGGAAGTTGGCGAGGATGGCGTCATTAAATTGCTCGCTGGGACCACCGCCTTGTTGCATCGCGGCAAACCAAGCCGAGTTGCTGTAACGGACAGCAACGAACATTCGTCTTTCAGGCTGTATTTCTATTCTGTCACCTCCTGCTTCAAGTGCTCTTGTCACGAAGCGCTCTGACGAGAAGGCAGCCATGCCCCGAATAGGCATGGTGCTTGTGGTGCAGGTGTAGTGCAGCAATTCGAAACCTGCGATGTGGCATGTTCTGGTGGCTGGAAGTAAGACCGCGAGTTACGTAGACTCGGCAAGGCCGCCGCAAAGCAGGCTAGCGGCTTCGCTCCGCACTTGTGGTGGTTTCGAAGAGCGTCTCGGGTTTCGTGAACTCGGTCAGCAGGTTGGCTTCGACTGCAGCAGCCTGCACCGCTTCCACGTGTTCCTGCAAGTTGGCTTCATGTCGATGCTCTACTTGTTTAACACATTGATTTTTGCATGTCGAATTGTTTCTTTTGTCCCAGCAGCCCCCCAACCCCCCAGCCCCCCAGGCCCCAGCCCCCCAGCCCGCCAACCCCTGCACCAAGCCGCTCAGACCCCCAGCCCCCCACCCCAGCCAGCGCCAGCCTCCAGCCCCCCCCAGCAAATTTCAAAACACGGTTCGCAAAAAAAAAAACTTTCGGTCAAAACGTTTCGGTCAAAACCTTTCGAGTAAAATATTATTGGGACCCAAACCCTTAACAATTTCTATAAACCCTAAGCCCTAAACCATTTTGTCGACCCCCAACTGTCCGGTTCTTGGTTTAGTCTTTGGCCTCTAGTACTAAAACTATCGTCACTGTCATCGCTTCCATGTTATGATAGTTGCAGTATGTGCAATGCATACCTATAATAAGGAACCCTTAGGAATAATACTTGAAAGTATTCCGACCCCCATATAATTTCCAGTCTCAAGAAGCTTTTTCATGTTTTTCATGAGTGTTCAGCGTGTTTTCATGTCGTCGTCTTCTTCTGAGAGTCCTTATGCGGATGTCCGGAGCAGATTGGTTCACGATCGATACTAGAGTTTCGAAAAAAGCTGTCGCTGAAACTAGTACTCCTTCTGTTGGCACACTGCCACTACAGCTCTGGCAGTGGCTAAACCCTAAACCCTGAATCCTAAATCCTAAACCCTAAACCCTAAACATCGCCAGCCCTGGAGCAACCCGAACTCGACGCGCGGCATTGACCTGAAAACCTGAAGCTAAAGCCCAAACTTGAAACTGTTTGAAGAGCATTAAGGTTCAGGGTTTAGGGTTTCAGGGATTTAAGGGTCGGTTTAGGGTCTTCGGGTTTAGGAATTTAGGCTTTAGGGTCTTCCGATTTAGGGTTTTATGGCTTTGGGGTTTTAGGGTTAACGGCTCAGGGTTAGGGCTCAGGCCCTGATCCCACAAGGCCAAGGGTCGCGATTCGGCACAGTGTGTGCAATGTCGCAGCGATCGTCCAGAGCACACCGCTGCCAGGCCTCCTTTCCTGGAAACAATCCGAGCGGTTTAGGATTAAGTTTAGGGTTTAAGGTTTAGGGTTAAGTTTAAGGTTTAAGGTTTAGGGTTAGGTTTACGGTTTAGGGTTTAATCTAGACAAGTTTCGGACATGCATGATGCTTTGAATTACTTGTTAGTAAGTTGCAACAACTGGAGTATAGAGGAATCGCTGTTGCAGTTCTTCTGCCACGGGGTTAGGGCAGGAGAATTGTTGGTTTCAGTGATCGGTTTAGGCTCAAGCTGAGCTTAATGGACAAATATCTAAGGTTCAAGGTTGAGGATTAAGCATGTTAGGTCGAGTGGGCTTTAGGAACAGACACCAGAGGTTTGGATGTAGGGCTTTTCTGAGTTGAGGATTGCCAACGATGGCAAACCCCGACTACTTATCAATCTTCGAGACCCCACCGAGGGCTTACTCCTTCAACACTCAACTGCGCTTTAGGGCAAAGGGCTGTTCGGTTAAGACTTGGGGCAACCACCGTAGACCCTAAACCCTAACCCTCAACATTAAACCCCAAAGCCTCAACCCAAAACCCAAACCCTAAACCCTAAACTGGCGAGAGAACCACTGACCATTTGCATGGGCGCTCGAGGCTCCGACCGAAGCCCCGGCCGGGCTGCAATGACGCCGCGTCGCGAAGGACCTCTCTGCCGTCCGGCAGTACAAGAAGACACCAAACCCCTCACCGTTGGCGTCGGTTGTGTTGTTTAGGGGGGCCCGGGGGGCACCCCAGAAGAAACTCAGGCAAGCTGGGCCTCTGGTCCAGGGCCTTGGAGGGGTTTTCAAGCCTTGCAGTAGCATGCCATAACTGGCAACTTCAAGCGACCCTGACAGGGTGCGAGGGGCAAGTTGTTTGTTGGAAACCATTCCTTCTCGTCGTTTGGCACAGGCCGCGAAGACCCACAGGACCCACAACCCGACATCAATCCATCTCAGCTGTGGTTTGCGGTGAAAAGTGGTCGTATATGTGTCGAACTGCGAGGCGAAGCACTGAGCAAGAAAGCCCCCCTCAAGGGGGTTGAGGGGTGAACCCTAAACCCTGATTGAGAATAGTTGGGGTGGTTGGGACGGGAGTACATACTGACGCAAGCGGGTGCGCCCCCATCTAAAGAAGCGCACCCACCGCGCGCACACCGTCTACAGACCCTAGACCCTCAACCCTGAAACCCTAAACCGCAAAACCCTAAACTTTGACCGAAGTCCTTCACCTACCACGTCCCGGAGACCGGGAAAGTCGCAGCAGCCTGACGGCGAAAGCGGCTCATAGTGGTCTATAGGGCTTCTAAGGTTTAGGGCTTAGAGCTCTTAGGGTGTACAGAGGTGTTTGACAATCCGCAGCAGCCTCCTTGGATTTGTCAATGAATGCCCCTGGTCTGGCTGAGGATGTGGGTTCATTAAACTAGGTGGGGCGTTTAAAGCCTTTGACAAATATTAGTAAATAAGATCCTCTTAAGCCCAATACGGGAAAATGTAACATGTCCCAAAGCACTACCTAGTAAAGGATGTCAATAAGCTCACCTAAGCTCTTTGCCTTCGACCTTCTACCCGAAAGACTGAGCAGCGGGATTTGAGCGCTATGATATTGAAGCAGCCCTCGCACTTGTTCCAGTGAGGTTCTATTTGGTTTTGTTGGTGTGCTCTTGCTTCTCTTGTGACTATTGCAGGGGTTCCACGTGGGTTTCTTTGAATTTTGTGGGGCTGTGCAGGATTATTGCATGGTTCCCTGTTGGTTCCTTATGTCAAAACGAAAGATCTTCGCAACACGGACTCTGCTTCTGCGACTGTCAGCTTTGCCGAGAATCCCCGGCGCAGCTACCTTTATCAGAGAAGCCCAGACCCTAAACCCAAAGCGACTAAATAAAATGCATCGACCTAAACCATCCATGCCTCAAAACCCCTCGAAATCTGAATCCTAATCCTTGAACACCAGACCTGAATGCCAACGCCCACACACACAAATCCCCCCCAACCTCCAAACCCGAAACCCTGGGCACTAAATCCTAAACCCTGAAAACCCTTAAACCCAAAAGCCAGAACCCTAAACCCCAAATTTTAAATCCCTAAACCCTGAATCCCTAAACCCTAAATCCTAAACCCTAAACCCTCATAAACACGCGGCCTGGAGTGGAGGAGGTGAACTCGCAGTCTTCAAAGAACTGGAAGTCAATGAAACCATGGAAGGTGTACAGCAACGCTATCCTTACGGTTCTGGGTGCGCGGGTTGCATGTTTAGTGCCTCAGCCCCAATGCTAAATGCGATCACCTAAAACCTAAACCCTGGGTTTAGGGCTTTGGTCTTGGAGTCATAGGCGTCCAAACCGAGCCTAGCAGTTCGTGCTTGCTCGGGCTTGAAGGCTCAAAGTCAAACTAAGGATGTACTCGACAAATCCAGTGACCCTACAACGGTTACTTGAAGGGTTTTTTCCTAGAAACTCCTACAAAGGTTCCTGTAGGAGATTGAGGGTGAGCAAGGTCGTTAGAAGTAGATCACAATCGTCATCGTTCTTTTAAACTACTTGCTAAGCCTCCTGAGCTTCACGTGCGGCCTTTGAAGCTTGAAGAAAGCGAAGTTGAGGACTTGGGATGTGGCTGGGGCTTGGGGTTTCGCACTTCGGGGTTTGGGAGTCTAGGGGATCAGAGTTCGGGGGGCGTCGTGAAGGTTCCGAGCCACGGGCCTCGAGTGCGTGATGAACAGCCTAGACAACATCTTGGTTTAGGGTTTAGGGTTCCGGGTTTAGGGTTTAGGGTTCCGGGGACTTCACAACCAAAGCAATGAATGGATGCTGTCTACTAGACTTCTTCAAGACTTGTGCTTACCTGCTTGAATCGTATCTGCTTATGTATACTCATGACACACCGTATAGCAATCGTGCTTGCAGCACTGACTACAGAAATGCATGCAGATGTACGTTTAGGTATGCATGCATGCATGTATGTACACACTTATGTACGTATGCACGTATGTACAAACTTATGTACGTATGCATGGTACGTATGTAAATATGTATATATGTATGTACGTGTGTAAGCATGGGTATACATATATAAATGAAAAATGAACATGCTGATACAGATACATCAAAATACACATACACAAAAGTATATGTACACATTCATATACATACGCATGCATACATACATGCATACATACATGCATACATACATAAATACATATACATATACATATACATATACATATACATATACATATACGTATACATATACATATACATATACCTCTACATATACATATACATATACATGTACATATACATATACATCTACATATACATATACATATACACACATACACAGGTGCACACATACACACATACGCACATACACATATACACGATATACACACATACATACTACATGTAAACATACATAAGTACATACATACATATGCACATATATACATATATACATATATACATATACGCGTACATACATATATAAAAACTTGTGTATATATATATATATATATACACATGTATATATGCATATACATATATATATGTATATGTATATGTATATGTATGTGTATATATATATATATATATACGTGTGTATATAGACATACAAACATATACATATATATATATATATATACATACATACATATTTACAGATATACATGTATACATATATACATATGCACATGAACATTTCATTGACAGATGGCAGTGATATGGAACAGGAATAGCCTGAGATCGTCACAGCAAGAGCTCGCCAGGCTCCTAACCGCTCCTGCTAAGGAGCTTCACTTTAATGGCCACAATAAGGAAGGCCCATTAGATACTATAAGTTCCCTATTACGTTTGTTTTAGTTGCCATCATGGGGAAGCACCATTTGCTACTATAGAGCTCTACTGTGGTAACTTAAGCCTTGCTTTAGGTACCATAACAAGGAAGCCCTATCAGTTGCTATGGATATGGTTACTTGGGGGGTTCCGAAAATAGGGACCCTAATATAGTACCCTAAATAGAAGGATCCTTATTATAAGGACCCTAATTAAGGTACCCCCTATTTTCGGAAACTCCCACTTAAGTTAAGCCCCTTATCTGCCGTCCCAGGCTCCAGAGGCAGAACCGGGGAAAGCCATGCAGAGGCGGATTTCGCCAGCAGGCGAAAGTGAACCTGAGGGCTTAAGGTTTCCGGGTTTGCGGGTTAAGGGTTGAAGGTTTTGGGGTTTGCGGGTTAACGGTTGAAGGTTTTGGGGTTTTAGGGTGGTGTAAGGACTCACAACACCCTTGAATCTTGCGGAGCCGCCTGTACCTCAAAGGCGTTGCCAGGTTGTGCTCAATCTGCGTGTTGATGATTGACCGTCTTGGCCATATTTCCCGGGACTTATTGAATGCTCCGCCGTACTTCGACCACCACAAAAAAGGGACTCCAACTTAATGAACTCTTCTGCGCGAGCCTGCAGTCATGATGCAAACCAAGGTTTTCATCAAAGGTTGTAAGGCTCTGACTCTGCTCGGACACAGCTACTTCAAATCAAATTGGACATGCAATTGCGTCATGCCAAGAAACGTATGTTCCAACCTACACAAGAAAAGACCATAGCGTTGTAACGTGGATAAAAGAGAGAGATCGTTGTTGAGAGATCGATAGACATGGAGAGCCGGAGATGGAGAAGAAACACAGACCGAGACAGTAAGCGAGATGGAGATAAAGATAAGACAGAGTATGAGAGAATGAGAGAGACAGAGAAAGATGTGCAGGTATAAAAAGGGAAAGCGGTGTGCCACAATGCGCAGGGTTCGCGTTTGCTTCAACCGCGGATTCCGGGAGTGCTCAAACATATATATATATATATATATATATAAAGATAGGTAGGGTTTAGGGCCTGGAAATTGGCGCTTAGAGCTTTGTGTGCAGGGTGAGACTTCAGCTAGATTCCACAAACGCTCTCCCACCACAGTGCAGGGGTATGTATTTTGGGCTGCACATCGTCTTCCCGCCACAGCCGCTTTTGGCTGGAGCAAAGTCTGCATGCTCATATACGAAACGGTCATGCCAAGGAAAACCCTTGACAGCTCTTACTTGTAAATCCATATGAGCCCTTATCAAACCCTGCAAATCCCCTAAAACTCTCTAGAAAACCCTGCAAATACCCCGAGATGCAACAGCCAAGAGGCACAGCAAGTCCGACGCTGCTGGCGGTGCTTGCAACGGACAAACTCCAGGAGATCATCATCTTCTCGGCCTAGGGTTAACCTTAAAAGGGAACCCCATTATGAAGTTATTACTGTAAAGGGAACCCCTTTCCTTTAAAAGAACCCTATGATAGAACCTTTATAGCACCCTTAAGGAAACCTATTAGAAGCGTCCTTTGCAGGTTGCGGGTTCCTGTAAGGATTCCTTCAAGGCCTGAACGCTACGTTTGGGCCCCAATGGTTCCTTTGGGGCTACCTTTACAACGCGTTTAACCTTACTATAAGGGTGTGAGCTTGAGTTTCAAGGGCCGGACACCCTAAACCCTGAAGCCCTAAATGTGAAACCAGAGGGATTTGTTTACAAGTCAAGATGTGACGTGCAAGGCATATGGTTCGAAGCTCTTTAAAAAGGCCTCGGGAGCAAGGGCGAGCACCATGTCGTCCCTCTGTGGGCCCTTCTGGTTTCACACTAAACCCTAAACCCTGAACCCTAATTCCAAAACCCCAAACTGAATCCCACATCCTACCTGGACCCCCCAACTACCCTTTAACATACCCTAAATACCCACTATTAAGGACCATAAGGGCTTTATTAAATGGTACTTGGGGGGTCCTGGTACACCCGAAATATACCGAAACCCCCAGTCGCCTCCGAGGAGCAAAGTAATTGAAAGTTTCGGCGAGCTTGAATCCGATAGAGGCAGTGAAGGTCACGAGGATCAGGAAAGAGTCGAAATCGAAGAACGCCCTTAGGGTTCAGGGTTAAGCTTATGGTTTAGAGTTTGGGGTTTAGGGGTTTTGGGTTCAGGGTTTCATTTGTTTGAGGGCCCGTTTCCAATTGAATGATCCTGCGGCCATTAGCCAGGGGTTTAGGGTTTGGGGTGCAGGGTCCGGGGTCTGACATTTAGAGATCAAGGTGTTCAGGGCATAGAAGCTATTGAGTTTTAGGGATCTAAGATGTGACCTTCAGGGTTTACCTGGATCCTTAAGAACCTAAGCTTTTCAGGACCTATATAAGGAAATCTTAATAAGGAGCCCTGAAAAGGAGGGTTTTATGGGTTTGCCCTCTTTTTGGTTTAAAGGGACGAATACGGTAAGACGGACCCCCCCAAAAAAAGGCCTACTCTAGGTCCTAGAGGAACAAGATCCTATCATCCATTCGTGCAATAATTGCCATGGGGGCAATGGCAAAAGGAAGGGTCCAAGTGTGAGATGCCAGCATCTGTAACATTCTGCAAGACATGTTGTACGTGCGTGCGTGTTGAAAAGCATCACTATGATGTGACCAGTTGCGATTGGTCTAGCCGTGTTGTCACTCTTGAGGCTGCTGGCCTGTCGCACTAGCAATGTTACTAGCGCCCCTTCTTGCCATCACCCCCCGCTTTAATAGAAAACGCAAGAAAACGAGCAAGTGGAGGGCTCTGCGTAAGGCTCACGAGACTATGTTATCTCTGAGAGTTGTCTGAGAACACTCGGTCGACGAACACTATACCCCCCTTAGAACCATAATAAACATAATGTTGTGAATATTCTCTCAGGTTTATATGAACAAGATTAGAAAATAATTCCTGAGGAGACTATAGAACAGCCTGAACCTGAAATGCACGCTGCGGTTTGATGTCGAATCAAGACGATCTAGAGATCCCAAACAGTCGAAGCCTTGCAATGCCTCTAAGCCGGAAATCCCAAACCCCAAGCCGGAAGCCCTGAACCTAAAACATTTGAGCCATGGCACATCATGGCCGGAAGCAGCTTCCACTCCGTCGCGCCCAACTCGACCCTCTCCTTACGCTGCTCTTCGAGTTGTTTTGGGTAGGTTTAAGGTTTACTACGCATTTAAGGTCTATGCCTTCTGGGGGGGGGGGGGGGCTGAGGTTCTCTAGCTTCCGAAAGGCTTTGGGATAGAACAGAACACAAAGCCGATCGAGTCAATACCCTCAGAGCGAGTCACATCAGCAGCAAAACAGGTAACATCTCTGGGCACCACCAAGGAAAGCCGATCTTGCAGAGCACAAAATCAAGATGCAAGGAGAAAAAAACATGGTAGGTGTACTGTCAGCTATATCCATGTGACTACTAACCCTGCGGTTACTAGTATCAAGATAGTTGCGTGTGGCACTCCCATTCTGACCCGCCTCAGCTTCGTAACCATTGGTATTGATAGTGTTACTACAGTTTCTTCTTCAGCAGTGAATTAACAACTGTTATCCAATTATTCTTGCTGCCACTACTGCTCGTGAAACTTGTAAAATTTATCTGGGCTGCGTTCCAGTAAGTTTGAGTAGGGTTGGTACTAAACCCTCGAGACTCAACATGAAACACCTACACCTCAACCTTCAACATCTTCAGAGCCTAAACCCTAAACCCGAAATCCCGAGACCCTAAACCCTGACCCTACTACTACTACTACTACTACTACTACTACTACTACTACTACTACTACTACTACTACTACTACTACTACTACTACTACTACTACTACTTCTACTACTACTACTACTACTACTACTACTACTACTACTACTACTACTACTACTTCTACTTCTACTTCTACTACTACTACTACTACTACTACTACTACTACTACTACTACTACTACTACTACTACTACTACTACTGAAGCGATTACGGCTGTTCCCTGCTTCGTGCAGCAAACTCGCAGATGTCTGCCGCAGACCCACAGAGAGCAGCAGAAGTCCCACGAAGACCTGCAGAAGAAAATGTAACATAGGGCCCTTAATAATTAGAATAGGATTCCTTTACAGGGGTCAAAGAGGGCTACTATAAGGGCTATTATAAGGATTTTGTATAGAGGCCTTAATAATTAGAATAGGGTTCTGGGGCTCATTATGCTATATTTTTGTAATTAGGAGCCCCCAAAAGAGTACTGGTAATTATTTAGGCCCCCTTCTGACAGAAGAAAATGTACTCCTGTGCCTACATGACCTGATTGAGGGGTCCTTCTGGAGAGGTAGTACACTATAACTCGTATAAAGACGACCCGAGGATTCCATTGCTGATAAAGGACGGGCATGTGGGGCTCTCAAAAGCAATGACAGCTTAACCGTGGGGCCAGTTGGGATCAGACTTTGAAACAGTCTGGTTCTTGCGCCCGTGGCTCGCGAAAGGACCGATCAGACTTCGCACGCTGCAGGTCCCACTCAGTGATGGTGCCAGTGCGCGAAGAGCTTCGGAGTCGCTGTTGTCGGCTCCGCTGTGTCCACTGGGCTTTGAAGTAACCAGGGGGGAGAAAAAGTATAGACCTGGGGGGGGAGCGTGGGGGTCGGCGGGCGGGAAGGGGGAACGGCGGGAGGGGGCGGGCCGAGGGCGGCGGCGGGCGGCGGGCGGCGGGCGGCGGCGGCTTTATTCCATCATGGTTCCCTTTAAGTAACAGGTCCCGCAAAAGAATACTAGAGAATGGTACTCCAAAGCCCAGTCCTTGAATCTCGGACGACCCAACTGCATCGACATGCAAAACAAAACAAGCTGAGAAAAGACGGAGATGGCACTTCGGGTGCGCATCACATCTCTGGCTTCTCTAGCTTACTACAAGTACTATAGGGGCCTTAGTAATTACAAGAGGGTTTTGGGGCCCATCATACTATAATTATACTAAAGGGCCCCCAAAATAGTATATAAGGCCCCTAATATACAACCCTACTCTAGATCCCTTTAAGGAACCCTTTAAAGGGGTTTCGACCCTTTTCGTAGCTTACTTCCAAGGGTAAAAGGAGGGACCCTTAACAAGGACCCCTAGGTAGATACCCTTAATATAGCTATTATATACCCATTATATAGCCCATCATAGGGTAGGGGTTTGATTACTACAACTACTGTGCCATGCTCTGACTACCGCGCAAGCGCCGCGAAGCCTGGGATGCTGCAGTTCAGATCCTAAGACCCGAAGGCTTCGGAATGTCTATTGAAATTACAAATTATGTTGAGGTATATTATACGATGTGGTACTATATTCAGTTATACATTATACTGTATTTTACCATATCATACTATATTACACTACATTATATTACTATACTTATTAAATCCATTCCTCGCCACCCCCGCCCCCCACACCCCCCCCCCCAGGCCTCGCTGGCCTGGGCTGTGCACTCATACCATGCCGCGATGGCGAACCTGGCGCTGGAGCTTGGACTGGTGTTGGTAGGGGTTAGGGTTCAGGGTTTAGGGTTTTTTTTTTGAGGACCTTTTTCCAGTGCATGGAGAGCCTCAATGAGGCAGGCCCGGTTTAGGGTTTAGGGGTTTAGGGTTCAGGGTTTAGGGTTTGGAGTTTGGGGTTTCGGTGGCGTTGGTGCTTCACCGCCGTCCGTACTGATCGTTGTGTTTAGCTGCGGCCTTGTGGAGATCAAGAGCTTTCCGGTAGGAGTTCTGGTGGGGTGGGAATCTTATGCAGATCTCCAGGTGGGCTGTGGAAAACGAGGAACATCTCTCTGAATCCCTCCGGTAGGCAGAGGATGTTGGAGGCTATTCCCCAGCAAGCGTGATCGCATGTTTCATGGCATGCGTATCGAACCCTAGACTATACCGTCTATACCCTATCCCTCCCCGTTAAGTTTAAAACCTAAACCTGAAACCCAAGCCATAGTACCCCTAGCTCGACACTATAGACAGGGAAGCCCTGGACACCACACCCCAACCCCCCAAGCCCTAGCCCTAGACTGACAACCGACGACCTTGACACGTAGGCCGACCTTTCTTGTGCTTTAGGGTTTGAGGTTTAGGGTTTGAGGTTTAGGGTTTGTGCTTTAGGGTTTGAGGTTTAGGGTTTAGGATTCAGGGTAGATCCCCGACCAGTGCCCTCACGAGACAGTATCGTAGTTCGGAAAGCGCTGGCTCACCAGATTACCTATGGATATTCAGACGCAGGAGAGTACAACTTCCCACCGTCCAACAAGGTGCAATGACATCTCGATGTATATATTATAATAAAGGACCGGATAACCCCACATGACAGCGATACTCTGGTCGGCATCAGAGCAGTGCAAAACAGAGTGGTTTAGATATGTAAACATGCGTGCGCACTCCGCGTGGGTGTCCGCCCCGGTTGTGTGTGTTGTGCGTGTGCGTGTGCGTGTGCGTGTGCGTGTGCGTGTGCGTGTGCGTGTGCGTGTGGGTGTGGGTGTGGGTGTGGGTGTGGGTGTGGGTGTGGGTGTGGGTGTGGATGTGGGTGTGGGTGTGGGTGTGGGTGTGGGTGTGGGTGTGGGTGTGGGTGTGGGTGTGGGTGTGGGTGTGGTCGTGGGCGTGGGCGTGGGTGTGGGTGTGGGTGTGTTGTGTGCTGTGTGTTGTGTGTTGTGTGCTGTGTGTTGTGTGTTGTGTGCTGTGTGCTGTGTGTTGTGTGTGTTGTGTGTTGTGTGTTGTGTGTTGTGTGTTGTGTGTTTGTGTGTTGTGTGTTGTGTGTTGTGTGTTGTGTGTTGTGTGTTGTGTGTGTGTTGTGTGTTGTGTGTCGTCTGTGTTTGTGTGTTGTGTGTTGTGTGTTGTGTGTGTGTTGTGTGTGTGTTGTGTGTCGTCTGTGTTGCGTGTGTTGCGTGTGTTGCGTGTGTGGAGGGGGGTGAGTGGTTGCTTGTTCGTGTGTGCCGTGTGTGGGTGTGTGTGTGTGTGTGTGTGTGTGTGGTGTGTGTGAGGTGTGTGATGGTGTGTGGTGTGGTTGTGGGTGGTGTGTGTCGGTGTGTGTGTGTGTGTGTGGGTGTGTGGTGTGTCGTGTGGTGTGTGTGTGTGTTTGGTGTGTGTGGTGTGTGTGTGTGTGTCTGTCTGTCTGTGTGTGTGTGTGCGTGTGTGGTGTGTGTGGTGTGTGTGTGGTGTGTGTGGTGTGTGTGTGTGTGTGTGTGTGTGTGTGTGTGTGTGTGTGTGTGTGTGTGGTGTGTGTGGTGTGTGGTGTGTGTGTGTGGTCTGTGTGGTCTGTGTGGTGGGTGTGGTGTGTGTTGTGTGTTGTGTGTTGTGTGTTGTGTGTTGTGTGTTGTGGGTTGTGTGTTGTGTGTTGTGTGTTGTGTGTTGTGTGTTGTGTGTTGTGTGTTGTGTGTTGTGTGTTGTGTGTTGTGTGTTGTGTGTTTGTGTGTTGTGTGTTGTGTGTTGTGTGTGTTGTGTGTGTGTGTGTGTGTTGTGTTGTGTTGGTGTGTTGCGTGTTTGCGTGTGTGTGTTGTGTGTTGTGTGTTGTGTGTTGTGTGTTGTGTGTTGTGTGTTGTGTGTTGTGTGTTGTGTGTTGTGTGTTGTGTGTTGTGTGTTGTGTGTTGTGTGTGTGTGTGTGTGTCGTGTGTCGTCTGTGTTGCCTGTGTGTGTGTGTGTGTCTGTGTGTCTGTGTGTCCGTGTGTCGGTGTGTCTGTGTGTCTTTGTGTCTGTGTGTCTGTGTGTCTGTGTGTCTGTGTGTCTGTGTGTCTGTGTGTCTGTGTGTCTGTGCGTCTGTGCGTCTGTGTGTCTGTGCGTCTGTGTGTCTGTGGGTCTGTGTGTCTCTGTGTCTCTGTGTGTCTCTGTGTCTGTCTGTGTCTGTGTGTGTCTGTGTGTGTCTGTGTGTGTCTGTGTGTGTCTGTGTGTGTCTGTGTGCGTGTGTCTGTGTGCCGCTCTAGTTGTAACTCTCTCCCGAGCTCTAGCTCCAGCCCCTGCTCCAGCTCTATATAGTTGTAGCTCTCTCCAGCTCTCGCCCGCCTCTCCAGCTCCAGCGCTAGTTGTAGCTCTCTCCCGAGGTCTAGCTCCAGCTCTAGTTGTAGCTCTGTCCCGAGCTCTAGTTCAAGCTCCAGCTCTAGTTGTAGCTCTCTCGCGAGCTCTAGCTCTAACTGTCTCCCGAGCTCTAGCTCTAGTTGTAGCTCTTTCCCTGGCTCCGGCTCTAGCCCCAGCTGTAGCTCTAGGTGTAGCTCTCTCCCGAGCTCTAGCTCCAACTCCAGCTCTAGTTGGAGCTCTTTCCCGAGCTCCAGCTCCAGCTCTAGCTCCAGCTGCAGCTCTCTCCCGAGCTCTAGCTCCAGCTCCTGCTCCAGCTCTCGCTCAAGCTCCAACTCTAGTTGTAGCTCTCTCCTCTCTCCCTGGCTCTAGGCTCTAGCTCTAGTTGTAGCTCTTTCCCTGGCTCTGGCTAGCTCCAGCTCTAGCTCCAGCTGTAGCTCTAGTTGTAGCTCTCTCCCTAGCTCTAGCTCTAGTTCCAGCTCCAGCTGTAGCTCTAGTTGTAGCTCCCTAGCTCTAGCTCCAGCTCTAGTTCCAGCTCCTGCTCCAGCTCTACTTGTAGCTCTCTCCCTAGCTCTAGCTCCAGCTCCAACTCTACTCGTAGCTCTCGCCCTAGCTGGATAACGTCATTTTGCACAACAAGCGAGCACAATCCAGCCAGGAGCCGAAACGAGGCATTTCCAGTACTAGAGTTGTACTACAAGAGAGCACAATCCAGCCAGGAGCCGAAACGAGGCATTTCCAGTACTAGAGTTGTACTACAAGAGAGCACAATCCAGCCAGGAGCCGAAACGAGGCATTTCCAGTACTAGAGTTGTACTACAAGAGAGCACAATCCAGCCAGGAGCCGAAACGAGGCATTTCCAGTACTAGAGTTGTACTACAAGAGAGCACAATCCAGCCAGGAGCCGAAACGAGGCATTTCCAGTACTAGAGTTGTACTACAAGAGAGCACAATCCAGCCAGGAGCCGAAACGAGGCATTTCCAGTACTAGAGTTGTACTACAAGAGAGCACAATCCAGCCAGGAGCCGAAACGAGGCATTTCCAGTACTAGAGTTGTACTACAAGAGAGCACAATCCAGCCAGGAGCCGAAACGAGGCATTTCCAGTACTAGAGTTGTACTACAAGAGAGCACAATCCAGCCAGGAGCCGAAACGAGGCATTTCCAGTACTAGAGTTGTACTACAAGAGAGCACAATCCAGCCAGGAGCCGAAACGAGGCATTTCCAGTACTAGAGTTGTACTACAAGAGAGCACAATCAAGCCAGGAGCCGAAACGAGGCATTTCAGCAGGAGCCGCTTTCCAGTTACTAGAGTTGTACTACCAGAGAGAGCAACTCCAGCCAGGAGCCGAAACGAGGCATTTCCAGTACTAGGGTTGTACTACAAGAGAGCACAATCCAGCCAGGAGCCGAAACGAGGCATTTCCAGTACTAGAGTTGTACTACAAGAGAGCACAATCCAGCCAGGAGCCGAAACGAGGCATTTCCAGTACTAGAGTTGTACTACAAGAGAGCACAATCCAGCCAGGAGCCGAAACGAGGCATTTCCAGTACTAGAGTTGTACTACAAGAGAGCACAATCCAGCCAGGAGCCGAAACGAGGCATTTCCAGTACTAGAGTTGTACTACAAGAGAGCACAATCCAGCCAGGAGCCGAAACGAGGCATTTCCAGTACTAGAGTTGTACTACAAGAGAGCACAATCCAGCCAGGAGCCGAAACGAGGCATTTCCAGTACTAGAGTTGTACTACAAGAGAGCACAATCCAGCCAGGAGCCGAAACGAGGCATTTCCAGTACTAGAGTTGTACTACAAGAGAGCACAATCCAGCCAGGAGCCGAAACGAGGCATTTCCAGTACTAGAGTTGTACTACAAGAGAGCACAATCCAGCCAGGAGCCGAAACGAGGCATTTCCAGTACTAAGTTGTACTACAAGAGAGCACAATCCAGCCAGGAGCCGAAACGAGGCATTTCCAGTACTAGAGTTGTACTACAAGAGAGCACAATCCAGCCAGGAGCCGAAACGAGGCATTTCCAGTACTAGAGTTGTACTACAAGAGAGCACAATCCAGCCAGGAGCCGAAACGAGGCATTTCCAGTACTAGAGTTGTACTACAAGAGAGCACAATCCAGCCAGGAGCCGAAACGAGGCATTTCCAGTACTAGAGTTGTACTACAAGAGAGCACAATCCAGCCAGGAGCCGAAACGAGGCATTTCCAGTACTAGAGTTGTACTACAAGAGAGCACAATCCAGCCAGGAGCCGAAACGAGGCATTTCCAGTACTAGAGTTGTACTACAAGAGAGCACAATCCAGCCAGGAGCCGAAACGAGGCATTTCCAGTACTAGAGTTGTACTACAAGAGAGCACAATCCAGCCAGGAGCCGAAACGAGGCATTTCCAGTACTAGAGTTGTACTACAAGAGAGCACAATCCAGCCAGGAGCCGAAACGAGGCCTTGAGAGGAGAGGATTTTAGTCGCGGGAAACTCTTCCGAGGCCTTGAGAGGAGAGGATTTTAGTCGCGGGAGACTCTTCCTAAGTGCAGGACCCCTTTAGCGCGCGCCTGATCCCACAAGAGCCCTCCAAGAGCCTCCGAGAGCCCTCCAAAAGCCTCCGAGAGCCCTCAGGAGCCTCCGAAAGCCCTCGGAGGAGAGGATTTTAGTCGCGGGAGACTCTTCCTAAGTGCAGGACCCCTTTAGCGCGCGCCTGATCCCACAAGAGCCCTCCAAGAGCCTCCGAAAGCCCTCCAAAAGCCTCCGAGAGCCCTCAGGAGCCTCCGAGAGCCCTCCAAGAGCCTACAAGAGAGCACAATCCAGCCAGGAGCAGAAACGATGCATTTCCAGTACTAGAGTTGTACTACAAGAGAGCACAATCCAGCCAGGAGCCGAAACGAGGCATTTCCAGTACTAGAGTTGTACTACAAGAGAGCACAATCCAGCCAGGAACCGAAACGAGGCATTTCCAGTACTAGAGTTGTACTACAAGAGAGCACAATCCAGCCAGGAGCCGAAACGAGGCATTTCCAGTACTAGAGTGGTACTACAAGAAAGCACAATCCAGCCAGGAGCCGAAACGAGGCATTTCCAGTACTAGAGTTGTACTACAAGAGAGCACAATCCAGCCAGGAGCCGAAAGGATGCATTTCCAGTACTAGAGTTGTACTACGAGAGAGGAGCCGAAAGGAGGCATTTCCAGTACTAAAGTTGTACTACGAGAGAGCACAATCCAGCCAGGAGCGGAAAGGAGGCATTTCCAGTACCAAAGTTGTACTAGGAGAGAGCACAATCCAGCCAGGAGCCGAAAGGAGGCATTTCCAGTACTAAAGTTGTACTACAAGAAAGCACAATCCAGCCAGGAGCCGAAAGGAGGCATTTCCAGTACTAAAGTTGTACTACGAGAGAGCACAATCCAGCCAGGAGCCGAAAGGAGGCATTTCCAGTACTAAAGTTGTACTACGAGAGAGCACAATCCAGCCAGGAGCCGAAACGAGGCATTTCCAGTACTAAAGTTGTACTACGAGAGAGCACAATCCCGCCAGGAGCCGAAACGAGGCATTTCCAATACTAAAGTTGTACTACGAGAGAGCCGAAACGATGCATTTCCAGTACTAAAGTTGTACTACGAGAAAGCACAATCCAGCCAGGAGCCGAAAGGAGGCATTTCCAGTACTAGAGTTGTACTACGAGAGAGCACAATCCAGCCAGGAGCCGGAACGAGGCATTTCCAGTACTAGAGTTGTACTACGAGAGAGCACAATCCAGCCAGGAGCCGAAAGGAGGCATTTCCAGTACTAAAGTTGTACTACGAGAGAGCACAATCCAGCCAGGAGCCGAAACGAGGCATTTCCAGTACTAAAGTTGTACTACGAGAGAGCACAATCCAGCCAGGAGCCGAAACGAGGCATTTCCAGTACTAAAGTTGTACTACGAGAGAGCACAATCCAGCCAGGAGCCGAAACGAGGCATTTCCAGTACTAAAGTTGTACTACGAGAGAGCACAATCCAGCCAGGAGCCGAAAGGAGGCTTTCCAGTACTAAAGTTGTACTACAGAGAGCACAAATCCAGCCAGGAGCCGAAACGAGGCATTTCCAGTACTAAAGTTGTACTACGAGAGAGCACAATCCAGCCAGGAGCCGAAACGAGGCATTTCCAGTACTAAAGTTGTACTACGAGAGAGCACAATCCAGCCAGGAGCCGAAACGAGGCATTTCCAGTACTAAAGTTGTACTACGAGAGAGCACAATCCAGCCAGGAGCCGAAACGAGGCATTTCCAGTACTAGAGTTGTACTACGAGAGAGCACAATCCAGCCAGGAGCCGAAAGGAGGCATTTCCAGTACTAAAGTTGTACTACGAGAGAGCACAATCCAGCCAGGAGCCGAAAGGAGGCATTTCCAGTACTAGAGTTGTACTAAAGCGAGCACAATCCGCCAGGAGCCGAAACGAGCATTTCCAGTACTAGAGTTGTACTACAGAGAGAGCACAATCCAGCCAGGAGCCGAAAGGAGGCATTTCCAGTACTAAGTTGTACTACGAGAGAGCACAATCCAGCCAGGAGCCGAAACGAGGCATTTCCAGTACTAGAGTTGTACTACGAGAGAGCACAATCCAGCCAGGAGCCGAAACGAGGCATTTTCAGTACTAAAGTTGTACTACGAGAGAGCACAATCCAGCCAGCAGCCGAGACGAGGCATTTCCAGTACTAAAGTTGTACTACGAGAGAAAGCACAATCCAGCCAGGAGCCGAAACGAGGCATTGCCAGTACTAAAGTTATACTACGAGAGAGCACAATCCAGCCAGGAGCCGAAACGAGGCATTTCCAGTACTAAAGTTGTACTACGAGAGAGCACAATCCAGCCAGGAGCCGAAACGAGGCATTTCCAGTACTAAAGTTGTACTACCAGAGAGCACAATCCAGCCAGGAGCCGAAACGAGGCATTTCCAGTACTAAAGTTTTACTACGAGAGAGCACAATCCAGCCAGGAGCCGAAACGAGGCATTTCCAGTACTAAAGTTGTACTACGAGAGAGCACAATCCAGCCAGGAGCCGAAAGGAGGCATTTCCAGTGCTAAAGTTGTACTACGAGAGAGCACAATCCAGCCAGGAGCCGAAAGGAGGCATTTCCAGTACTAGAGTTGTACTACGAGAGAGCACAATCCAGCCAGGAGCCGAAACGATGCATTTCCAGTACCCCCCCAAGAGCCCTCCGAGAGCCTCCGGAAGACTCTTCGTAAGTGCAGGACCCCTTTGCGCGCGCCTGATCCCACAAGAGATTTCTCAAGAGCCCTCCGAGAGCCTCCGGAAGACTCTTCGTAAGTGCAGGACCCCTTTGCGCGCGCCTGATCCCACAAGAGCCCTCCAAGAGCCTTCCGAGAGCCTCCGGAAGACTCTTCGTAAGTGCAGGACCCCTTTTTGCGCGCCCCTGATCCCACAAGAGCCCTCCAAGAGCCCTCCGAGAGCCTCCGGAAGACTCTTCGTAAGTGCAGGACCCCTTTGCGCGCGCCTGATCCCACAAGAGCCCTCCAAGAGCCCTCCGAGAGCCTCCGGAAGACTCTTCGTAAGTGCAGGACCCCTTTGCGCGCGCCTGATCCCACAAGAGCCCTCCAAGAGCCCTCCAAGAGCCTCCGGAAGACTCTTCGTAAGTGCAGGACCCCTTTGCGCGCGCCTGATCCCACAAGAGCCCCCCAAGAGCCCTCCGAGAGCCTCCGGAAGACTCTTCGTAAGTGCAGGACCCCTTTGCGCGCGCCTGATCCCACAAGAGCCCTCCAAGAGCCCTCCGAGAGCCTCCGGAAGACTCTTCGTAAGTGCAGGACCCCTTTGCGCGCGCCTGATCCCACAAGAGCCCTCCAAGAGCCCTCCGAGAGCCTCCGGAAGACTCTTCGTAAGTGCAGGACCCCTTTGCGCGCCCCTGATCCCACAAGAGCCCTCCAAGAGCCCTCCGAGAGCCTCCGGAAGACTCTTAGGACCCCTTTGCGCGCGCCTGATCCCACAAGAGCCCTCCAAGAGCCCTCCGAGAGCCTCCGGAAGACTCTTAGGACCCCTTTGCGCACGCCTGATCCCACAAGAGCCCTCCAAGAGCCCTCCGAGAGCCTCCGGAAGACTCTTAGGACCCCTTTGCCCCCCCCCTGATCCCACAAGAGCCCTCCAAGAGCCCTCCGAGAGCCTCCGGAAGACTCTTAGGACCCCTTTGCGCGCGCCTGATCCCACAAGAGCCCCCCAAGAGCCCTCCAAGAGCCTCCGGAAGACTCTTTGTGGTGTGGTGTGGCGTGGTGTGGCGTGGTGTGGTGTGGTGTAGTGTGGTGTGGTGTGGTGTGGTGTGGTGTAGTGTGGTGTGGTGTGGTGTGGTGTCGTGATGTGTGGTGTGGTGTGGTGTGGCGTTGTCTTGTGAGGAGGCGGGAGCGGAGGAGGAGGGAGGGGAGGGAGGAGAGTGAGCGGATGGGGCGGTGCAGGCCAAAAACAAAAACCCCACAGTGATGTGGGGAACTATATATATATATATGTATACATATATATATATATAACTGTATATATATATACATATATATACACATATGTATATGTATATGTGTATAATGTACTCTATATATATATATATACACATACATACATACATACATACATACATACATACATACATGCATACATGCACACATACACACATACATACATACATACATACATACATACATACATGCATGCATGCATACATACATACATACATATGCCCTCAAGCCTAGGACCTCTAGGCTCGAAGGAAGTAGTCGCAGCCGGCTATCCAGGCCAAGGCCCATCCCAACCAATCACTTTCCTTGTTTAAGCCCCCAGTGTATTGAAGCCCTAAACCCTAAACCCGTAGCCTCACGCTACCACACCGTGGCCAGCTGTGCCCTGTTCGATTCGCGTAGCCAGCACCTTAGGGTAAAAGGTGAGGCTACGGGCCGACTTGCCTTGTTCTAGTGCATCTTGCCTTTGGTAAGTTCGCACCTTAGGACTGTTTCCTGGTACGCAAATAAATCGAGGAGGCCTGTAACCCAGAAAGGGTATTGGAGCTTAGGGGATTGAGAAATTAGGGTTTCTGTAGGCTTTCCACGGGTTCAAGAGCCCTTACTTAATCCGAGCTCGGTGGCTCCGAGCTATATATGTGGGCTTACGGAAGAAGGCTCTTTAGGGCTTAGGGCGTAAGGTTTGGTAGTTTAGGGATTAGGGTTTAAGGCCCCATAGGATTTAGGGGTGTAGCGAGGATTTAGGGGTCTAGAGATTGGAAATTATGTTGTGGGATATTGCTTAGCATTCTCTCCAACACCTGCAAGTGTTATGGTTGAGAAACCAGCCTTCACCCGAAACCCAACCAAACATCAATTATTAGGGCTCATCCATAATTGACTGGGCGTACTCAAAGAGCGAGCGAACTCTGGCTTACGTGGCTTCATACCTCTTGAAGTGGCCTCTTACCTCTTGTCTATGTCCTGTTTTGAGTCCCCAGAGCCTCCTCGGCCAAGATTCAGAAGGACTTTGCCCTTTCACAGAACGGTCCCTCCTACAGAAGCGGGTAGGCGTCATCCACGCCCTGCACAAAACCACACCTTGGACCTGAGGGCCTGAACCTCCAGACGCTAAACATCCCTAAACCCTCCATGGAAGCCCCCACATGATATTTAAGGCAGATTACATAATTCAGGGGTGCTGGGCTTTCTGGGAGGTCTTGTTGGGTGTTGTTGTGGTAGCTTGTTGTCTGCAGCCAACTCATCTGTGCACCTCCGCACACATCTGTTTCAGAAGGGCCATGCTTCAGATGTGAACTTGATGTCACTAGAGACTCCAATATCCCTTAATTAAGGAATATTCTTCAAACCATACAAGGGATTCTACTATAATTTAGGTATATTCCTTACTTAAGGGGTTTTGGAGTCTCTGGGTCCGCTCCGCCTTGGTGACGCTCTTTGAGGACGTCTTGGAGTTTGTCCTTTGCCAAGCGCCCGGAGGCCAAAAAACAAACCATTAGCCATCAATAATTCCTACGAGCTTCATCCTAAACCGCGGCCGTACCCGAAACCCACAATTTTGAAAGCTGCGGCGTCCTGCTCAGATTGGATTCTGGGACTGGAGAGTTTCCGAAAATAGGGGACCCTACTAGGGTACCCTAAATAGGTAGGATTCTTATTATAAGGACCCTAAAAAACAAGGTACCCCTAATTTTCGGAAACTCCCACTTGAGACCTTGATCCTCAGAGCACTTTGTGAGGCTCAGAGTCGGCAGCATGCCGCGTGGTGATTTAGGAAGGAGTTTCCGAAAATCGGAGACCCTTTTATAGCACCCTACACAGTAGGATCCCTATTATGTCAAAAAAATAGGAGACCCTAATATAGCAACCTAAATAGAAGGTTCTTTATTATAAGGACCCCAACTCCCAAGATGAGGTCCAGGGTTCAAGGTTTATGGTTTAGGGGTTTAGGGTGTTTATGGTTTAGGGTAAAAGGTTTAGGGTTTAGGGTTTACCGCGTAGGGTTTAGGATGCACCTCCAGGGTCCAGGGTTTAGGGATTAAGGTTTAGGGTTTAGGGTCTACCGTTTTGGGGTTTAGGATGCACCACCAGGGTCCAGGGTGTAGGCATTAAGGTTTAGGGTTCAGCGTCTCGGGTTTAAAGTAGGTGTCCTAAGTTTCAGGGCCACTTCTTTCGCGGAGCAGGAGTCGAGTGTTGGTGGATTTCCCCAAATCCTAAATACAGCCTCTGCAAAGCTTCTCAGGTCCACACAGATGATGCAGATCATAAGTAAGAGGCATCCCAGGGCCTGCCATGCATGCTGTGCTTTAGGGTTTGGGATTTCCATTACCCCAAGACCGTGGGGCAAAAATCTCGTGTCTACCCGGAACCTATAGTCATCCCCCAAAACCCCAAACCCAGAGACTCCAAGATCCCTTCAGATTCATTAAGGAATATTCTTAAATCATATAAATGATCCTACTATAATTTAAGGTATATTACTTAATTAAGGGGTATTGGAGTCTCTCGGAACCCTAAGCCCTGAACCCGTGCACAGGTTAAAAATCCCTTTCCATGCTCGTTGAGACTCGCGTGAAAAGCGAAAAGCCGAAACGTCGCATGCCCCTGAGTTGAGCACCAGGCCTTGGAAGGTAGCACCCGATATCAGGACCTTGTAGTTAGACCAAGTTTTGCGGTACAACGACTAGACAATGTAGAGACTGCAAGGAAATACTAGCACTCAGTACTCCGACTGCGACATTAAACGATCCTGAAACCGAAAGACCCTAAATCTTAAACAACTGCCATTTTAGGCTTAGGCCTTGCATTCAGAATCTGTTTTTGCAACCCTGAACCAATCGATACTTCCCCCCCTGCCGGCCGTCTAGGATTTAGAGCCTGAGGTTCACATGTTGACCCCAAACCTGAAACTAAATGCTGAATCCTAAACCCTCGAGCCCTGCGTTCAAACCCCCACCTCTAAAGCTAAACCCGATTTCCAATCCCTCAAATCGAAAAACACCTTTCAACTCTAAATCGAACACCCTGAACCCTAAACCCTTAACCCCAAACCTGAACCCTAAACTTCTCTGCGACAACGGAATGTGTCAGTCGCCGGTGTTCTACCCGTGCTGAGCTTGCTGCAGGTGTGAGTGTGGCATGGATACAAACAATCGCCCATAAGCCGGAGCCGAAATTGGATGCTGTCATCGACAAGTTCAACTGAAACGCTTGCAATCCGAAGGTGGTAGCCTATCCATGGCAGAAGTCATGATGACCTGACTGACTGACGAATGTCCGACCGAAGCTTCAAACCCTAAACCCCAAACTTCAAACTCCGAACCCCAAACTGAACTAAACCCTAAGCCCCTAGACCCCAAACTAAATTAAACCCAGACCGCAGATTCCAAAGGGATGTCGGCGGAGAGCCTTCGTCGCGGCCTTGCGCCAAGGAAGGTCCGGGCATCTCTCGAAGTGCCTGAGCGAAGGTAAGGGTTTGGGGCTTTGGGTTTAGGATTTAGGGTTTAGTTCAGGGTTTAGGGTTTCGGGTTCAGGGTCTAGGGTACTTAAGTTCTCCAGGGACTTAGCGAGGAAGATGACTGAAAGGACCAACCACTCCCGCTTAGGTTAGGTTTTGGGCAATGCGCTACGTCTCCCACCGTCATCCTAAATCTTAGTGTCTTGCACTTGAAGAGGTCATACATTCCCTCCTGCCTGCCTGCATGCATGCATGCATACTTACATATATATGTATATACACACACATACATACATGTGTGTGTGTGTGTTCTCTGTATGGCTCTGTGTGTCTCTGTGTGTCTCTGTGCGTGAAGTGTGTCTGTGTGTCTGTGTGTGCGCGTCTGTGTCTGTGTGTGTGTGTGCGCATTTGTCTGTATATGTAGCATGTGTATACATACATACATATATGCATATACACGCAGTTGCACATGCCTACCTTCCTTCCGACTTCCCTACATGTCCAATTACCTCCATGCCTCCCTCCATCCATGCATCCATCCATCCATACACCGCAAAGGCTAAGCCCTAAAACACACAATATCGACGACATGTCAGCCTTCACCGTACCTAGGGGCCGAAACTTGGCGCACCTGCAAAAGATAGGTTCCATCCTTGCCTGTAAGATGCTATACCGGGCCTTAATACCGAGAGGGCTCCGTATGGGTTTTCATAATGTGAAAAAAGGCCTTCTCGCTCTGAATCATACGGCTTACTGTGGGGTGTTGTCGTGGCCCATATAAGGGGCCTTCATCCTTGGATTTATGAGGCTCACTATGGCGCATTAAAAATCCGAGAATAGGCCCCTAGTACTTAGATTTGCTAGGTTTGCGATGGGGCTTTCTAATATACAGGCCTTTAATGAAGGCATACGTTGGTTAGAAAAGCGTTCGGGGAATATTATGCTGCAAATGGATGGGGACCGTGAGAGGATCGCACGACTTATTGTCTATACTCCAAGAGATTGCACCACTTCTGATTATCCAAAACCGCTATATGACACACAGAGCCCGCAAGCGCAATTACCCATTAATCGAGGTACAAGGTATAGCATTTAGGGTTTAGGGCCAGGTATCAATGGGTATACCTTTTACTTCATATGAGAAGACCCCTTGAAGTTTAATAGGATAAACCCTTCTAAACCTCCAACTGAGGCCAAGGGGTACTGGAGTGCTGGCCCACGGCTTTGGAGTTTTTAGCAAAATGCAGGTAAAGCGGCTTCCAATATTGAGGCATTGAAGCCTTTGGAGAAACAGTTTACGAATCACTGTACCCTGAACCGCTTAAACCCCAAAAGCCACCCTGAATCCCTACAAAGCCCAATCTGCTGCGAAACCTGAACGCGGAATCCGGCACTGGTGCGAGCTAGGCACTGCGCATGGCCCAAGTGCATGGCACAAAGCATGAAGAGTCCGTGAGTCGCGAAAAGCCTTAGATTTCGGGTTGTCGGGACTCGGGATGAAAGTAAGGGCTACCCTAAACCCTACACCCTAAACCCCTGAACGGCCCTAAAGCCCTGAACCCCTGAACCCCTAAACCCCTGAACCCCTAAACCCCGGAACCCCCTCAACCCTGAACCCGAAAAAACCCCTGAACCCCCAGACCCTAAACCCTAAACCCGGAGGGGGGTAGGGGAGTATACTTCCTTCAATAGGCTTTATTGGCCCCCTACCCTAAGGGTCCTTTTTCCGAAAATCAGGGGGGGAACCTTATTTTGGGGCCCTTATAATGAGAGGTAAAATAAGGATCCTACTATTTAGGGTACGAGATTAGGGTCCCCTATTTTGGGAAACTCCCACATGCTGATGTGAAGACATGAAAACCAAGAAACTGGCTCTCTGCCTCAAGATGGTGCTACGGCTGATGGTATAGATCCTGCATTACCTTACTGGCCCTAGACCATGGGGATGATGATATTTTGCTATGGTGGGTAATGCAAGATTTATGTCATCAACCGTGGAGCCAGCAAGAAGTATGGCCGATCTTGTAGAAGGCAAGTATAGAACATGATACCACACTAGAGAATACACATGAATACACCACAAATATGAGAACCCCACAAGACCAACAATGACCATAACAATAAAGCGATAACACCATGACAAAACAGTTACAACAATTAGCTCGTGCAAGAACAATAGAAAGAACAGTGATGATACTAATGACAATATTCAGCGCAGAGCAGAAGCAGTATCTGCATGACTGTATGACTACCAGGCTCGCAAACCGCTGAGCTCCCACAGCGCAGATGTCATGAGGTCGCACAATGTAGGCCTGTATAATCACTATGACCCTTATAATAGACCGTATAGTAGTCCATAATCCATATATAGACCCCTTCAAAGGAACCCCCAAAATAATGATGTGCAATGCAAGAGTTGGTCATCTCCCTAACACGGGCTGTGCTTCATTGTTGCAGCACAGCTCTAAGCGCTTCGTACTTCTCGCGACTGATCTTGAGACCTAAACGGTAAACTCTAAACGCCTAAACTCCAAACCCTGAACCCTAAACTTAACCCTAACCCCTAAACCTTAAACTTAACCCTAAACCGTTCTAATCTCGAGACCCAAAACTCTAAACCCTGAGCCCCTAGGTTCAAAGCTTCAAAGGAGCTGCGAGATGCTAACTACGTAATTCACCCGCCGTGACCATAGCATAGAGTACACAGTACATAACAAAAAGCATACTGTGTACTGAATTTAGTATTTGGTACATGGAAAGCAGCTAGATTCGCATTCGGAATATTTGGCACCGACAACTGGAGCCGACCAGCAACTCCCGCAACCCGTTTAGGGTGCAGGGTTTGTGGCTTAGGCTGGGGGTGTAGGGTTTGTGGTTTAGGGTTGAGGGCTTAGGCTTTAAGGTTAGGGGTTTAGGGCTGTAGGATGTGGGGACATATTGTGGAGAGGTTGTCTGAAAGTCCTGCTCTACAGTGCAAGGCCAGGCGCTGCGAGGCTGACATGAAGAGCCGCATCTTGCCGTAATTGTCGATCACATCCTGCACATGGGTAGTTGTCAAGATTAGGGTCCCTTTTTGGGTACCCTAAATAGTAGGTGCAGTATCATATTAGGGACCCAAAAAAGGGACCATAATTTTGACAACCACCCACATGAGCGTCGTCTCTCAAAAAACGGCAAGTTTCTAGGGCTCCAGTTACCCAGACTAGGTGTCGATTTCAACATTCCTCAAAGCTTGTTTGTAATAAGGCTCTAGATTAAACAGTAAGGGACATGCAAAGTTATCCCAAATCGATACCTAGCAGAGGTCTTCTTTTGAACCCGAAACCTGGATGCACTGGAAGCAAAGCTAAGCCAGTTCACCATCTTCTCGATACGCAACAAATCTATTGTTGTGCGGATAAATGTGCCAGCAGGTGCGAGACTAAATGTTGACGCTTGCATCAAGGGTACAGGAACTTGCCGAACCTTGAATCCTACACCCTAAATCCTTACCCCGAGACTCTAAACCCTGAACCCTCCGAAATACATGGCTCGAAACCTGACAAGCATGAAACCTGCAGCCTCAGGGACCCTGACACTGGAGCCCTCTGGTTTCTACCCGGCTCGTCATCTTCACCATGACCCCGACGTTTCGAACGTTTCTAGCCTACTCTAGGCCCTAGGCCCTAAACCCTAAGAGCGTCAACCCAATTCCCTCAACCCGTATCCTTATCAACTTTAGCTGAGGGCCCAGCACGAAACTGAAACTGCGAGTAGCGCTGTCGGTACTGCTGCTGGACAAGGAACCTGTGCATTTGGGTTGTCATCTAGGGCCCTGCACAATTACCACAGAGTTTTGAAGGTAAACCATACCGCAATTGCAAAATGGACCATGCCGACCATGGGTCCTTTCACTAGTTATGCAGACCGTAACTAGACCTGAATCCCGAAACCCTTAACCTGAAACCCAAAACCCTAATCCTGAAGCCCTAAACCCTGAGCCCTAAACCCGTTGTTGGACCTGTGGGTGTTTGTTAAGTTTGGGATGGGATGGGGGTTGTTATGCAGGCGGCGGGGGTGGGGGGAAGGGAGTTGCCAGGGTTCAGGGTTTCGGGTTGAGGGATTTGTTTTAGTCTTTGTGGGCTTCAGGGTTTTGGGTTCAAGTTTTCGAGTTTCAAGCTATGGGTTTAAATTTTTGGGCTTAGGGTTTTGCATTTAGGTCTTCGTGGGATCGAAGTTCTCGGGTTTCGGGTTTGGGTCTCTAGGCCGTCGTCAGCATGTCTATGGCTTCCTGATCTCGGGTTCAGGGTTTAGGGCTTATCGGGCTTATGGGGCCTAGTCGGTTTAGTGGGTTTAGGAGGTCGAGGGTTTAGGGCTGTTAGGGTTTAGGGTCTACGCTTTAGGGGGCTTTAGGGGGCTTGGGGTTTAGGGTTTAGAGTTTAGGACTTTTGGGGTTTAGGATCCAGGGTTTAAGCTTGGTTCAAGGTAGACCTCCGTGGTTTCCAAGACATTCCCAAGGGTCCTCTAAGTGTCCCCATATGAGGATCCGAGGAGAGATGGTTGTGTATGGCCGCTCATAACTTGAACAGGGCTCCCCTGCATAATTTATTATACATTTCTTTAAGGAAATACCATAAAGGCTTCCATCAGAGGACTCGATGCTAAACTCCCAAAACTGAAAGGCCTTGGAACAACTTCTCGGGTAGTCCCTCTTTCGTCCGAAACCTGCTCTCTGCCGTGCCCGAAGCCCGAAACAGACACTAAACACTGAAATGGACCCTCCAAAATCCAAACCCGAAGAGCCCAGAAAAACCTGAGCCGCAAATCCACCAAACACAACGAAACCTGGACGCCGCATTAGGCTGTAGGGTTAAGTCTTCCCATCTAGGGTTTGGGCTCTTAGTAGGGGTTCAGGGGTTCCGGGGCTGAGAGCTTTGGAACTACACATCGAGGAGTTGTCATTAAAAGGCGGGAGGAAAGTAGCTGCGTAACTCCCACATGAGGATCACACGGTCGCGAGGTATACCGACCTTCGCCCCAAGTTCCGATGCCCTTGATATGGGCGTCTCAGACCCCAATATGGAACCCAAAAAGGCAGGATGCAAACTACGAGAACGCCCAAAATCCCCACCCCGAGCTTAAAGACAAGCCCCATATATAACCGAGGCACTCCAGCGCCATGACAACAGCCAGTACCAAGGTGAGCACTTGAAAGACGTATGCGTAGCCTCGCTGCTGGGAAGTGTGAGCCCGAACTCAAAACCCGGAACCCTCAACCGCACGTCCTGCCGGTTTAGGGTTTAAGGTTCACAGTTTAGGGTGTAGGGTTTAGGGTTAACTTTGTTTAGGGTTTAGGGGCAGCCCAACACGCCCAAGTGAAACTAGAAGCGGGACCCCTAGAAGCCTTCAAGAACATCCTTAACCTAAACCCTGATCTCCAAATTCTAGACCCTAAAGGGAACCCCAGAAAGTTGGAATATGGTTTCAGGGTAGGATACCCCATAATTTACCATAAAGGGTTTAGGATAATCATATTCGCACTTTCTGGCTTTTACTTTAAACCCTAAGCTCTGAACCCGAACTCTAAAGCCCCGACCTCAAGGGTTTCGGGTTTGTTGCTTTGCGGCGCTTCCACGTTCTCGCGAGATCGGGCTTGGGATCGAGAGGGACCCGGTTCAGGGCTTAGGGTTGGGCTCAACGTAACCAGGGAGAAAAGTATAAACCTTCAACTTCATAGCCTTATAATGGTTCTTATAGTCGCCCTTTTAGATCCCTTTAGAGGGACCCCCTTCTAGACCCCCTATAGATCCCTTTAAAGGTTCTTATATGCCCTATATTAAGTCATAATGGTTTACTGCACCCTAAACCCAAAATCCCCAAATCCATAATGGTTCCTTCAAGGAACAGGCCCTTAACAAAAATCACGTAGCCCCTAAACCCATCATGGTTCCTTTGGGAAAAGGTCCTTTACAAGACTCCCGAGGCCAGCATCTGTCTATTTCCCAGTGTTGTAGGGGACCTCTAGAGAGGGCTTAGGGTTTACGGTTTAGTTTTTACGGTTTGAGGCTTAGGGTGTTTGGGATATAGAGTGCAGGGCTTAGGGCTTAGAGTTTCAACTTTCGGGTTTAGAGTTTAAGGCTTTTGTTTAAGCGAAGACCGAGACCCAGTCTCCAAACGTCGTCGACATTTCGGAATCCAGTTCTACTCCAGCTACTCGTCCCAGTTTGCGTTTTCAGGGGTTGGGGGTTTAGGGTTTGGGGCTGAGGGTTTACTTGTTTAGGGCTTGGAGTTGAGCGTTCACGGGTCTAGGGTTTTCGTGGCTTATGTACAGTTTAAGGCTTCGGTTTTCGGACTTGTATCCTCAAGGTAAGTGCGACGTCAGTGACAGAGCAGAACAGGAAAAGCAACCCTGCCAGTTCGTAGATTGTGACCAGAACTGCGCTGCCCGAACCCACATCAACCGTTCCCCTTGGATCCTGCATCCTAGAACCACGAGGAACCTTGCCGCGGGCGTACACCGTTGCCGAGTGTGACGCAGAGGAAGCCCACCATATTGAATCCTGTGCAAGGCTAAGCTGGGAATTCGAGCGTTTTGGGGAGCATACGTGCTTTCATCGTGCCGCCGCACAACCTCTGTATCAACCATCTATAGAGATGCCGCTTTCAATACCCTAAACCCCAAACTTGGCCCCAAACCGCACCAAGCACCCCCACAAGTTGTTAATGCGGAAAAGCGGAAGTTCACACATCTGCAAGTCACGCAGTCCATTCCACTTCCAGGCCTTAGGATTTCTAGTGAATAAGAGAAGTAAACTCTAAACCGTTAAACCCCATATACAGCCCTAAACCGTCTACCCAATAAACAGCTCTGCTGTGCATCCCACGTTTATGCTCGAAAGGGCAAGCGAAGTAGTGCACAGCAGTTCGGCGCTCAAACTGGGACCTTGGACGAAACAGCCTAAATGCCTAAACTCCTAAACCCTAAACCCTACATATATGCCTAAACTCCTAGACCCCAAACCCTACACCCTAAACGCTGAATGGAAAAGAGTCCGGTGTGAAGCTTTCAGGGGAAGCTATGGAACCCGACGTCTCGACCCGAAGCCCTAAACCCTGAAACCCTTACATCTCCTAAACCCTAGGCCTATATACCCTAAGCTTGTTAGAAAAAACTGAAACCCTTAAATCTCCTAAACCTTAAGTCCTATATATCCTATACCCTAAACTTATTTTTAAACGAAGACTGCGACCCCAAGACCGGAACCCTGAACCCTGAAACCCTAAACCGGCCCACATCCGAAAGTCAGCCTAGCGATCTCCTGGTTGAACCTTGTAGTACCCTAAGGGTCCATGTACCCATATAGAGATACATGAGCCCCAAAGTACTTATATAGGGAGTACATTAAGGCCAATGTATATACTACATGAGTACATGGACCCTTAGGGGTAGTTCAAGGGGAGGAGGACAAGGGGCTCAGGTTCAGAGTCCAAGGGTTCTTGGCATGTGTTGGGCTGCGGCTGGCTTGGTCTGATTTGTGCCTTTAGGAGTTGAGGCTTGAGGGTTTAGAGCTTTTTGTCGGTGGTTGGGTGGACTCTGGAAACCATAAACCCGTAAACCCGAACCTCACACCGGTGAGGAAATGAAATATCTCCTGACCATCTCCGTCAAGCGACACTTGAAACCCAAACCTGAACCATCATCATCGTAGCAACGGTCGTCCCAACAGTGCTCGAAACATCACGTCAAAGCAATAGCAACATTCATGCTGACAATAGTTAATGTAGGTGCCTTAATAACTAGAACAGATTGTCCGTGGTTCTTCATTATAAGTACCATACTATAACTATCATAAAAAGCCAAACTCTATTCTAATTCTTAAGGCCCCTACATTATGACAACCATGAAGAACGGAAGGGGGGACTCTACTTCGGACTCTCTGGCGCCTGCATAGAGGGAGAAAATGCCTGCGATGAAAATCTGCGTGTCCTCCTCATGTTCATGTCTCGGGTCAACTGTACAAACCGGTTTAGGGTTAAGGGTTTAGGGTTTTTGTAGGTTGGAGTTTAAATGTACAGTAACCTACCAAACCCTGCATTTTTTGTAGGTTCTTATTATGAACCCTAATATGGAGTTTATAGGGACCCTACAAAAAGTAGGGTTTAGTAGGTTAAGGCAAGCCCACACCCCTCAAACCTTGAACCAGGTATGATGGATTTCGGGCTTTCCCGTTGGGCGGTCAGGCGGGCGAGCCGTGCGGCCTAGGAACCCAAGCCCGTAACCCGACCGGAAAAACCTGAACCCCTCGGCAACAGAATTATCCATCGCCCAACACCTACGACTGCCGGGAACGTATCCTCACCGTCCTGAGGCCTTGTAAAGCCACAGCAATTCACGATAAGCACTCGGGTTCAGGGTACCCTAAACCCTAAACCCTACTTTAAATCTTGGGCCGGCAGGCGTAGAAGCCGCGGCTGAACTCCGCAGCAGCCCTGAAACAACGCACGCCCCTTGGACCCGCAACAACAACTCACGCTTGGAATAACTCCTCAGGGATGAATTGTCTAAGCCCCACCCCAAACCCATCCAAACCCCAAACACATCACCTTACCCAAAGTCTAAAAGCAAGCTCTGGGAACACCCTCCAAGATCAAACAGGACTGGCCTTCAGGGCACCTTCCATCTCCTAGGAAAGGCTGCAAGACGGATGCGCAGTGTGGAGGATGTGTTTTTGAGAAGTGAGCGCTCCGGGCTTGCTGACTACCACCACTACTTGCAATCGCTTATCTTGAGGCAGTAAACCCTTATCAGAGGCAATGGTACCATGTCATGAATGAAGAACCGAACGGATTGGGGGTACGCGAAAACATGGCACGAGGTTACGTTATGTTCCAAGAGGTCTGAGGGTCTAGGGTTCTGGATTTGGGGTTTGGGTTTGATTGGGGAGTTCAGAACACGAGAGCTTACTGGGAATGCCGTGTACACCGGCTGGAGCCACAAGTCATGCCGATCCTTCCTGGAACCGTTATGTACTCAAGCGTCACTGCAAAGCAGAACCTCTGTCAAATCACTGAGGGCCATTCTGCACCCTAAAAGCCTACGTTTTTGAGGACGTGCATAAGGAAGTTATCAGAACGGACCCCAAAAAGGTAGGGAGGTTATTTAGGGTCTAGGATACTATATTGCCGGAGTAGGTTTCATCGTAAACCAGCCACTGAATCCGAAATCTCCTAAACCTGATCTTCGGCCGAGCAGCAATGCCGGACTCCCGCATGTTGACGTGCACAAATGCCAGCATCAGTTGCAAGAAGCAGTAGGGTAAGCCTTGCACCGCAGCAGAGCGTTGGCCCCGACAAGCTCACTGTTGAGTGATTGCGCTAACTGCACCTCCATAGTTACAAGGACAGCCAGGGTTTAGGACGACTAACATACAAAATTAGGAAGACTTTTTGAAGACTCCCCAGATTACGCGTTTGGGGCGTCGGAGTTTCGAGGGGGCTGAGCCGCAAGGAACGCAGAGCGAAGGCATGGCCGACTGTATGACCCCCAACGGCATCATGCAACTAGGGTTTGGGTTTCTAGGGTTCAGGGTAGGATTTAGGGTTTAAGGTTTGGCTTTGAAGGGTTTAGGGTAGGATTTAGGGTTTCGGGTTTACGGTTTGGAGTTTAGGGTTATTGAAGCGGAACGAGTGCGATGCAGTACGCAATAACTCCAGGCCATACCGGAGTACAGATAATCACACGAGGTGGTGTACGATGAGTGATGCTACATGAGTTCACATGATGCCGTCCAATGTGAGAAAAATTTGAGATCTGGTGTGATTCGGTAGGAAAAATGAGGCGACCTGAAAATCAAGATGGTGTCATACAAAAATAAGGCACAAAACCGATTAGACTTGATGCATTCCCGATATGTTTCGACAGCGAGAAACACCATCGGAACCCCACCTCGCTAATTCAAGAGGAACTACGAGGTCCAAGGGATCCCAAACGAACAGATACCCGAGACCATCATCAAGGGTTCTTGTAAGGTTCCTTTAAAGGTTCCTCTAAGGTTTAAGCCCTGAACTGTAACTTAAAGGACCTAAAGCCCTGAGCCCCAAAAGCCTTGAAGACCAGAATTAAACATGAAGCCCTAAAAGCCTGAAACTCTGAACCCAAAAAACGAAAACCCAACTTCCACCCGACTCTAGGTGTAGTCAGGCTACCAACCTGATACAGCAACGATTGCTTAGTTGCTGAGTTTCCTAGCGCAAACAATGTGTAAACTGACAGTTTTAAAGCATCCCAAACATCGAAAGTGCACCCACTCAGCTACTGAGATTCTTCGGTAGAGGCTTCTGTATTGTTGCGGGCTGGGGCTTGGGATTTCTAGTTCGAGAGCCAGAAACAAACTGCTGATCAGCATCCTAAACCCTAAACCCGTCCCTTAAAGGATCCCTTTAAGGATCCATTAAAGGACCCCTTAAAGGCTCAGCTCTAAAGTGTTGATAACAGTGTTGATAAAGCGGACTGAAAGCGATCCACAATTGCAATGCTAAAAGTCTTCGACGCCAAACCAACAAAAGTCTCTTAGGCGCCAGAGCAGTCCAGCAATCTTTCCGAAACCAGCAAGTGAAGCTCAGATGGACGCGTATTATGATGGGGCCGCACTAATTTGGGGCAGTGTAGTGTGTTTTCTGTACGTGTAACGAATGTTGCTTCGAAGTTGTTAAGCCTCTGTACTCCATCACGTTAGTTCCAGTTGAAATCCGACCAAGAACAGCTTCTCAACAGTGCGAGCGCGACGTCCCTAAACCCCATGCCCTAAACCCCAAGAAGAGATATGCTTTGGCTTTAGTAAAGCTGCAATTCCGCCACGCATGGCGGCGGATCAGGGTCGGGGGCCGGGGCAGGAAACAAGAACTGGGTTCGAGGAAGGGGTAAACCTTGCACTGAGCAGCTATTCTGAGTTCCTTGACCATAAAAGCCCTAAATATTGTACAAAACTATCAAGGCTTCATACATGTATAAAACCTTGATGAAAACCCTCATTGACCCTTCGCGAAACCCTTCTAACCCGCAAAAAAGCCTAAACCCTAAACCCCAGACAAGCATGCGCGGATCACCTACAATGACCAGAAGCATGTGGTCGATGAAGAAAGTAGAAAGCCACTGCTCCTCTAGAGAAGATGACATCAAAGGCTCACGGTTACAGGATTTGTTGGTATAGGTTTTAGGATTCAGGTTTTAGGGTTGGGTTTAGAATTCAGGGTTCAAGACTCAAGGATTAGGTTTCGGGGTTTGGGATTCAGATCATGACAACGACAAACTCAGACCCAAAAACCTGAACCCCGTAAACCCCTGGCGCCTGCAGCTACAGCTGCTGGCTCCAGGCTTACAAGAGATCCACTTGTCGGACACCTAAACTCATAGGGATCCTTAGGGGTGTAGGGGGAGGGGGGGCAGGGGGCCTTAAGGCCCATAATAAGGACTAATAAGGCCTATTTAAAGAAATAGAGTCCCCTACACCCCTCCCCCCTACACCCCTAAGGATCCCTATGATAAAATCGGGTTTGGGGTGCAGGGTTTCGGGCTTTAGGGCATAGGGTTTCGGGCTGCCCTGATGTATTACCAATACACTTCGGTGGGTTCCTTTAAGACAGCAGCAGATATGTAGGTTAATTACTCTAGTGTATGACCGTAAAGTACGTGGAAACTTAGCATAATACCGGGCCTGGAAATAGTTGCAAACATTACTATTATTTCGGCGGCCCCTTACTGAAAAAGTATGGTATAATACTATTGTACCCCGACTACTTGTCTGATAACCCTGTTTTAATCATGAAAGCCCGTGTGTTACTCCTAGGACAAGCCATGCACACACTTTCGCGGCGGACTTCCGAGGAAAGTTAATAGCATGCCCCGACCCCAAAGCCCAAACCCTAAACCCGGAACCCGTACTTCGGTTGATGATATAAATCCTGCATGACCCATAATAGGGAGATATAGTATAGTAGCACCCAGAAAATATTCAAACTGCTGATGGACAAAATCCTGCATTAGCCAATATAAGGAATATATCATAATTCCCATAGTTTAGGGTCCTTAAGGTATTGCAGGATTTATAACATCAACAGTTCCACAGCCTTTTCGCTACCGCTCTCCTCGTACTGCTGGCACAGAAGCCAGGCGATAGTTCTTTCTGAGCTCAGGGCTCAGGGCTTCTCGGGGTTCGGGGTTAGTATGTATAAGGGGCTTCGGGCTCCTATAAGGATTATACTATAAGGGAGTTATAAGGGATTTAGAGTTTAGGGTTTAAGTTTTATAGTGGTTTAAGGTGTGGGGTTTATAGAGTTCGGGGATAAGGGTTTTTGGGTTGAGGTTCTAACTTTACGGTGCAAGGATTAGAGTTGTAGCTCATGCAAAAAAATTGCTCCAGAACCGAGCTAGCACCTCCCTCATCATGCCAGAACCTCAGCACAAACCGTCTTCGAGCCACAAGCAAAGACTGCCAAACAGAGGCCCAGGGAATGAGAGTGAGGCCTAAATAGCAAAAAAGCTGGGGTCAGGGGGCACACCACGCTGGAAATATGTCGGACTCTCTGCTACAGTTGTATGATCCATAAACCTCCAGCCCCGAGCCCATAAACCCTAAACCCCTAAACCCCTAAACTCGTAAACCCTAAACCCCTAAACCGCTAAACCCCTAAACCCCAAACCCTGAACCCCAAACCCTGAACCCCTAAAACAGGCGACCCATTGAAGCCCATCGAGATAGGGGCCAGGTGATGGGGACAAAAGGCGATAATATGGGGGGGGCCAAAATGATTAGAACAAGTTTTTCGGGACTCATTCTACTATATCCTTAAAGGGTTACAAAAAGGGGGCCTTTCTAATTTGAACAAAGCTTTGGGACTCATTCTACTATATCCTTAAAGGCTTACTATAAGGGATCTATATGGGTACTATAATATGGGGGGCCTCAATAATTAGAACAAGGCTTTGGGGCTCCTTATACTATCTTTATAAACAAGAACCCCAGAATGGGTTTACGTGTTGAAAATATATGGGCCTTAGTAACTAGAACAAGGCTTCGGGACCCATTATACTGTAATTAGACAAAGCCAGAATAGATTTGGTAATTATTTAGGCCGCCATACTACTGTTGCCCATAACTCCGACTTCACATGAACAGCACGGCGGTAGCTCTCAAACTGCGGTCGAGACACTGCACCAGTGGATGACACCTTCCGGCTTGTTCAGCCTCATGGACGGTCAGCATACCGGGTTCTTGTTAAGGAACTTAACTTAAGTGACCAAAATGATGATCTGCAAAACCAATAGATGGTTTCCTTATTGTGGTAACTTAAGTTCCTTCACAAGAACCCAGAAGAGCAGAATCTACGGCTCTAGCGCAAGGATGTCCCTTCTTTCTAAAGGCCTCGCCAGATCCATCAAATACAAGTCAAAATATGGCTTAGGGTTCAGGGTTTAGGGTTCAGTTTCTTTAAGAATTTAGGGTTAAGGGTTCAGGGTTTCGGGTTTTGGGTTCAGTGTTGCGGGTTTTGGGCTGAGGGTTTCGGGTTTTGGGTATGTGGCTTCGGGTTTAGGGTTTCGGGGTTTGGGTCGAAGGTTCCTGCCAGCAGTGGAAACACGACCTTAAGTCCCAAACTCTACACCCTAAAACCCTAAACCCCTACCCGTCACAACCAGACAGTCACGTTCTGAGAACTTCCCTGTCGGTTAAAGGCTTAAAGGCTTAAGCCTTTTCGAGATGAAAAGCAGTGCTGAGAAGGTGGTCTTCACACATGTCGTGCAGTTAGACTTAAACCCTACAGCCCGATCAGCCCGTAAACCCTTAATCCTCAGGCCTAGAATCCAAAAACTGAACCGCAAAGCCCTAGAAACCAAACCCTAACCACCTAAACCCCATGACTCATAGCACCGAAACCCTCGAAATCCTATAGCCTTGAAAAAACATCAACAACCCCTAAATCCTAAACCCATAAACCCCCAAAGCCCTAAACCCCCAAACCCTGAACCTTAAACTCCGAACACTAAAGATCAAACCCATAAACCCTAAACCCCAAACCCGAAGCCCCAAACCGCTAAACCCCTAAACTCCCAAACCCTACACCCCTTAGCCCTGAACCCAAACCCCACCCCAAACCCCCAAACCCCAAAACCCGTAACCTCAACCCTAAATACCAAACTTTTAACCCCAACCCCTAAACCCTAAGTAATTCACACGTAACTATGTATTGATAAATAATATGCACAAATATATGTATAATATATATATATATATACACAAACATACATTGAACCCCTGAACCCAAAAAACCCTAAGGCGAGTCGTGCAAGTTTATGAGCCCCTAAAGAACCCTTATAAAAATCCTTAAAGGAACCCTTCAAGGCACCCTTAAAGGAACCCTCTAAGGAACCCCCAAAGGAACCCTTAAAGGAACCCTTAGACCCTAAACCCTAAACCCTCAAGGGAGCCCTTAACGGAACCTGTTGAAGGTGTTCACCCTGGGTGGCCATACCCTGCAGCGAAGCTCACGCAGAATGTTTTCTATGGCTGGGCGCAGAGGCGACTCACGATCTCAACGAAGCAACAAGAGAACCGACAAACCAACAAACGACCTGTACAGCTTTACAAGTTGTTGGTTACAGTACACATGGCTCAAGAGGCTTTCCTACGCAGCCTTCCCCTAAGCCAAAGGATACAGGAAACACACATGTACAAGCCTACCTGAAGGAAACTATACAAGTGCCGGCAATCCCTTCAAGCAGACTACACACCTGTCTAACCTGATACCTGGGCATGCAGTGAGAAGCATTTCAACACTCCTCCTTGCTAGAGCCGACAGGCAACTAGCACACGCTGCACTATTTACAGCATGCCCGTTCCTGGGACCTCTAGCCTTGAACCTTGGCTTGCCTTTAGAGACCTGTGCGGTGGCGGTCTCTGCAAACACGGCACAAGTTGCGGGTAGTTAAGGGTGTATTACGCCTTAAACCCCAACAATTAGAATCTAGATGAACACAATCCCCGTGCGCAGTGAAGTAAAAGGGACCTTGGGGAAGTTCATACTGCGTGCGGATTTCGATCCTGGCAGGCATCGGATCTGGTGGGACTCCTGTGACTGGTTGGAAAGCAGGCTCACGATCCGTTTGAGTAGACTGCTCACGCACTGCAGGGCGGCGACGAGACTGTGTGGCCTTGGGCCGTGGTGCAGCAGGCAACTCGTGGGAGGACTGCGAAGGCACAGGTGCCCTCTCGTTGTGAGCTGTGGACTCACCTGCTGGTGGTCTGGAAGACACGTCCTCAAGACTCATGCCCTGCAGTTGGGCAGCAAGCTCATCCTCAACAGCTCTCTGCATACGCCTCAAACGCCGGGCTCGACGAGACGACGCATGCGAACCAGCCCACCACGCATCAAGCCGATCCCACAATCTCTTCAACCACTCCCACACAACAAGGACACAAACCAATGCCATGCCAAGAACGAAGTACAGCTCCAGGGATCCATCAAGCTGCAAGCCAGGATACTCGGATTCACGGCTTGAGCTTCGTGCAGGTTGGATTTGAAGCAAACACAACAAGGCACTCAACGCGACTGGGTCGACAGCTGCTGACGAGCTCGGCCTGACCTCTCGGTCGGCTGTATCACCCGCAAAGTCACGCATGCCCCATAACCTGACAAGCTCTTCAATCCTTGCAGACGGAAGAGGTTTGGTCAGTAGATCTGCAAGCTGTTCCACACCCGGGCAGAAGGCAAGCCTCAGCTTCCCAGAGCGAGTCTGCTCACGAAGGTACTCAGCTCTTACCCGTAGGTGTCGCGTTCTCCATGATCCATGACCGTCAGAAATCGCAAGTGACGCTTGGGAATCAACGTGCAAAACCCTTTCTTCCGCAACGTCAAAACCAACCGTGTGAAGCAACGCCTCAATTGATTCAAGCGCGATTGCACACTCAATCGAAGCAGTGAGTTCACTTTCAGCAGTAGAAAGTGTCACAAAAGCTTGACGCGCCGACCTCCAAGCAACTGGACATCCATGCACACACACGCACCAGCCTCCATGTGAGCGAAGGCCTTCTGGCGAGAAGCTTGCGTCACTCCAACCGTGAAGTTGGGTTCCGTCCGCCTCAAACACCAGCGACGCTGTCTTGGTTCGCTGCAAGTAAGCCAAGGCACGGTCAGCAATGCGTAGAGCACGACAAGGCGCCTTCGTAGACAAACTAGCAAGCAAGCTGGCAGTGAACGCCAGGTCCGGGCGAGTACGTTGAGACAACCACAGCAGTTCACCAGTCACCTGTTGCGCGCGGTGAACGGCCTCCCCGTCAGGGGGGCTGGAGTCTCCTTCGCCAACTTCAAACGACGCTAGCTCCCGAGGACAAGGGATTCTACCCCTCACGTGGCAAGGTACCTCATGAAGCCGCAAGACTTCTTCTGCGTACGACTGCTGTGAGAGAACAAACCCACGAGGAATGACAATGATGTCCACGCCAAGGAACTTGATCGGCTGCTCTGGGGTAGCTACCACAAACGGTGTTGTGGCCCACTTTTCTTGCAGAGCCTTTGCCAAACTTTGAAGGACACCTAGCGACCCACACAACAAGAAGTCATCAACGTACACCAACAATGCGCCCTCAACGCGACCACCTTCAACCCTGACGACTTTCCACCAGTTCGGGTCTAGGGTCGAAGGCTCAAGCCGGTAGGTCACGCCGTCAAGGTCCCACACCAACGCTGCCAAACAAGCATCTCGATACTGTCCCCACAAGCGCGGGGCCTCTCGAAGGCCGTAAACCGCGTGGGATAGTATCCACAGCTCATGTGCAACTGCAAGACCAAGCTTGACCAACAAGCGGGGCGGGGTCAACGCAAAGATGGGGAAACCTTCAAGACAAGGAATAGGCGTTTTGAGGAACGCGCTGGTGATATCCAACACTCCCAACAACCAACCAAAGAAGCTTGCCAGGGCAATCACTGTTCTCAAGCTCTCAGCCTGAGCACCTCCAGCATACACATCCAAGCCTGTATTTGGCGCCACATTTCCGCAAGCAACAAGTCTCGCTTTCCGACGGTACAAACCTTGGCCTTGCGACGAAGCCTTTGGAGCGCCCTGAAGGGCCTCTGTACTGACGTCGGGCTGAGTGAGCGCAAGCTTTCCAGTGTCACCAACAGCTGCTGCCCCTTGGTCGGGCGGTTTCACTGTGAACACAAACTTGGAAGGTACCACCTGCAGTCGAGGATCACTCAAGTACTCGGCCTGCCTGGGGTCTGAAGGGCGCAGTCTGAGCACCGCATGCTCAATGGCCTTTACTTCTTTCTCAATGGACGGAATCCAAGGGATTGGATTGAGTGCGACTTCTGCGGGGTCTACAGTGTGAACGATTTGCAGAGGTGAGCTTAGATTGCTTAGAAGGTGTTCTATGTTCTTCGTGAACGTCGGTTCGGCTTTGCACAGGCGGTAGGGGATTACGGGTCTACCTTCGCTTACGAAACCCTCCTCCTCTAACGAGCTCCGCGAACCACTTTCTACAACCTTAAGCACCCTCAAACTGCAGTTGCTGGCGTTTGCGGCATCGCTCATGGGCTCCTGCGGAACATACATGTCCCAAGACACAGTAACCGGCCAGGCCTCATCAATCTCAACGGGTCTTTGGTTCTGCTCTGGTCCGGCCTCCTCTTTAGAGGGGCTGCATACAGGGGCAACTGGCCGATACGAACACGACCAGTTCACAGCGAAGTCTACAAACCCATCTGCAACTGGAAAGACCTCTTGCCAACCACCACCTTTGTTGACGGGTTGGCTCTCCGGGAAGCTAGGGTGTTGATGGATAGGGATCTCATGAGCCTCAGTGGCCTCCTCCTCCTCCTGTACTTGAGACAGACGCGGGGCCTGGAGATAGGCGGAGTCTGGGAGAGGAAATCCCAAATCTGCTAAGCCGTCAAGGTCATCTTTTTCGGCCTTTCCAAGCACGTCGGAAGTGTAGCCTATAACAACGACGCGGGTGCCCTTGAAGGGAGTTACGAAATGATGCCGCTTAGGATCAAACTCGAAAACTTCATCCTCTTCAAGTCTGTGCACCACACCGTGACGCTTGCGACCTCGTGCATCAGTGTGCTCTACAATAGACCCCCTAACAACATCCCCACTACCTAACTCAACCCAAAGATCGCCCCCACGCTTAGGAAGACACACTGGTAGGATGAGGTTTGTAGTTCCCGGAAGGTTGGAAGAATCAGTGTG